AAGTAAAACTAGTGTGGGAAGGTGCCTTAATGAGTATGCCAAAAGTATATGAACAAAGATGTATTCTGAAATTGAGTGAAAAATGAATGTGACCTATGGGCATTAGCAATTAATGCATTAATATTCTACACATCATATAATTGGTTAAGTGTTTCTACCTATGCAAGCTTGTATCACTGCCTGATGTCATCAGAGCTATCTTGGAATTGTGACGTAATATCAAAAATTGAATTGTGTCAATCGTACTTGAATTGGCAGAGCCTTAGGTGTTTTTTGTAGAGTACGGTGGCAAGAAATACAAGAACAAGAAGAATTCCAAGTGCATGCAAAACAGTTTCTGGTTAAAAAAAATATAGACTGATCCAACAATTAATGTTTATATACATATTACTCCCCTAATTAATAAGGCCTTTCCTTTGTGGAGACAATACTTCATGTGGAGAAAGTCTTACTTTTTCATCAGAAAGTTACACAAAACAAAATCACATAATTACTTATTATTCAAAAGAAAATTTGTAAAAATGTGTACTAAATTTCTTTTTCTGTTATTTTTTTTTTTCAAACTGTTAATGAACATGATGATAACACTTTAGCAGATGTTTAAAATATACAAATCTGTTTGACATAAAGGAAAAAAACCAAAAAATTTGTTAAAACCAACAAAGATTATACTTTATACTGAAAGGTGTGCATTATAACCCTTCCTTGAAAATTGAGGTCATCAACATTAATTAAACCTAATTATAAGTAATTTCATATTAAGTCTAAAATATCTTGTGTTTCACGGAACACGAAACATCGTAAATATGAGATTCAGATATATTATTGTTAATAGGCCTACATTCAGGGCGGACAATGGAAGTGTTTGGTTATTTGAATGGAACAAAATCCCGGATGAATTTGAATATTGGAAATAACCATTTAGCTAATGGTAAGGAACGAAAGACCATAATCATTGTAAATATTTGCTTTTGAACCCACCAAATAAAAAAGAAAATTCCAAATGAAGCTTACGGAACTATATAATTTGATCAACAGAAAATTATTATGCAGCAGGTGTAGATTTTTACACTGCAAATGCGTGTTGAATATGGGTTGTAGATGCACATTTATGTTTATTTTAAAAAGACTAGTTGCAATTTTTTGCACGTTAATTAAATAAGCATCTGTTTAACAAGTTAGTTTCTATATAATGTGCATGTTAATTGTCTGCACAGTCTTGAATATGTAAAAATGGTGGATTGAATACCTTGTCAATTGTTATTACAGTTCACTGATAAGATAGTGTGAGGTCTAAATTCAAGGTATCTATAAGGATCATGGTGCATTTATTTCAGTCCCTAGCCTATGACATTTTTATATGCCCACATTTTCAAGTGGACATATATTGACATTGCCCGTGTCTGTCCGGATGTCCACAATTTGTTTGTGGACACTCTACAGGTCGCAATTTTTTATCTGATTTTGACGAAATTTGAAATATAGGTTTATATCCCAAAGATCTCGGTTCTTTTCGAAATTGACATGTATCAGACCATAATTTCATGGATTATGGCCTTTGATTGCAAGAAAAATCATGTTTTTAGCTTGTGGACACCTAGAAGTCACAATTTTTATCCGATTTTGATGAAACTTGACATGTAGTTTATAACCCAACGATCTCGGTTTCTGTCAATATTTGCGCATATTGGACTGTAACTTCCTGGATTATGACCCCTGATTGTGAAAAAAAAAAGGTTGTGGGACCCTCTAGAGGTTACAATTTTTATCTGATTTAAAATATATCACATTTACACCATAATGAGGGTTGAGTTTGAATTTCGTGAAAATCGGACCGAAACTGATGGATAAAATCGAAAGTATGTAATGTCAGGGTTGTGAAGTGCTAACAGGCCACAATTTTGATCCTGGATTATGACCCCTGATTGTACAAAAAAGCTTGTGGGACCCTCTAGAGGTTACAATTTTTATCTGATTTAAAATATATCACCGTTACACCATAATGAGGGTTGAGTTTGAATTTCGTGAAAATCGGACCGAAACCGATGGATAAAATCGAAAGTATGTAATGTCAAGGTTGTGAAGTGCTAACAGGCCACAATTTTGATCCAATTTTGATGAAACTTAAAACTTGTTTATATCCCAACGATCTTGGTTCCTTTCGATATTCGCGCATATTGGACCATCACTTCATGGATTATGGCCACTGATGTACGAAAAACTTGCGATTTTAACTTGTTGACCCTCTAGTGGTCACAATTTTTATCCGTTTTTAAAAATCATTTCAGCATTTCATAGTTACACCCTGATGATAGTTGAGTTCGAATTACATAAAAATCAGACCAAAACTGCCTGACAAAATGGCCTTTGCTTGAACGCATATAGTGTAAAAGTATGTAATACCAAGGTTGTGGACCCTCTAGAGGTCACAATTTTTATCCAGTTTTGACGAAAATAAAAATTTATGTTTATATCCCAAAGATGTTGGTTCCTTTCGTTATTCGCGCATATCGGATGATAACTTCTAGGATTATGGATTATCGCCCCAGATTGTACAACAAAATCATATTTTTAGCTTGTGGATCTTATAGAGGGTACAATCTTTATCCGATTTATTAAAACTGTTTAAAAATATCATCATTACACTCTGATAAGGGTTGAATTTGGAAATCGTAGAAACTGTCTTGAACGCAAATAGTGTAAAAGTATGTAATATATGTTTACATCCCAAAGATTTCAGTTGCTTTCGATATTCGCGCATTTTAGACCATAACCTCCCGGATTATTGGCCCTGTTTGTGCAAAATATCACAGTATTTTTTTTAGCTTGTTCTCTATCCAGCTCTTGCAAAATGTGGGCATATCGTGCTTTGCAACCGCTAGTTTGTGAATTAAGACACATATCAGTTTGTGCTATTAACATGAACAAATCATTCCTGCGTAATACATTGGGCTAAATGTTGACCATATGACTTTCTGTTCTGAACTAATTTTCCTATGATACTATAAAGTAAGTCCCATTTAAAAAAAAAAAAGAAAAAAAAGTCATCCTCCTGTGACGTTCATCTTCGGCGACATCAGCAAATTATTGTTATTAACATGAACGTCAAAGGAGGATGACATCGAGGATGACTAAAGTATTATACGAAAATAAGTTCAGAACAGAAAGTCATTAAGCCAGCATTAAGCCACCATGCACAGTACATTGTATCATAAGTGTTTGATCAATTTGAAACTTACTTTTAAAAAACCTAAACAATGGAGTGGTCTCCCTTTAATTGTAAAAACCTAAACCTAGAATGTTTGGTAGTTAACTTCAGTTGTGAAGATCAGACAAGTGACTCAGACAGACAGTGGTTACATGAACTTTGTATTGATCTGTTTGTAAGTGAGAGTTAAAATTGGCAACAAAACACACTTAACATAATATTGGATTAAACTGTTTGTTACAAACACTACACATTTCCTTATTCAAAGTTACAAACTTTTTATAGCATTTTGATGAGGTAGGTCATTGGCAATCCTCAGGTGGCCCATGAATATAAAAAAAAAAATGTAGAAGGTATCTGTTTTCTTCCTATAAAATCTATTTATTTTAATAGCTTCCTAACAGAATTTTATTGTGGTGTATATGACAGTCTTCATTTTGACCTGTTATTTTAGATAAATGGTCATATGCTTGCGACCTTGCATGGTTAAATAATGCACTCAAATAACTAGAAAGTTTTTTTTAAAAATATGTCCACTTTGTTCAGGTAGTCAACTGACCTAATTCTAACAAACAGCCATCTAAATTTAACAAACTGTAATGACAGCAATAAAAAGATAAGCATAAAATGAAACCCAGAGCACATTCTGGCCTTTTTCAATTGAAATGACTTAATAAACAAACACCAGTCTTAAGACAATAGAGAACATTATCAGCTTGTGAGCTATAGTAGAGCAAGAGAAAAGGAACAAAAAGAGCAACTTTTAAACCCATCCAACTCTTAAAGGTTAGCACGTACGCGCCGTATCATAAGGTCTGTCATTGAGTAAACTGGCGTGGTTTCCATTCCCAGGTTGTACATGACAAGGAATAGGTTCTCCCGTCCAACCTTGTGGGTTTTCTCCAGGTCCTCTGGATTCCTCCCACTGCTAAAGACCCCCTACACACAAGCGAATTACGGTATTGAAATAAAATTGAACCATGTGTTGGTCCCAAAATGACCTACATGTAGTTTGTGTCAGGTGGACATTAAACTCTCCCTCTCTCTCTGAAAATATGGGATCCTATATCCAATATTTAAGACATAATGAACATTTTAAAATCAGTACACGACTTGTGTACTCTATGATTTCTAGTGCCATTTGTAATTTACAAAGAAAAACAAATTCCACAAACCAATGCTGAAGTAATTAAAAATGGTTGTTTCACAAATGACAAAATGATTTTTCAAAAATGTGTAGAATGGACTAATCAGGTTTGTGTACTCTATGGTTTCAAGCACCATTTGTAATTTACATGGAAAAACATATCCCACAAGCCACTGCTGAAGTAATTAAAAATGGCTGATTCACAAATGACAAAATAATTTTTAAAAACGAGTGGAATGGACTAAGCAGGCTTAAACTACTTCCGTTCAATTTGGTCTATTCATGTACCTCAATGAACATAATTGATTAAAAATTACAAATTTTATATACACTTGTATTACATGAGTATGTGCTTCTAGACCTGATGTTGTTAATTTCAAGGTTCCAAAGAATATAGCTATACACCCTTTTATACACTAAATTCATCTCCCAGGAAGAAAAATTTGAGGTTAAATCCCGTATTTTAGAAATTTCTGTTCCAGTATCATTGTATTCTACATGTACAAAGGAGTACAAGTATTTCAAACTTTTTTGATTTTGATCCAACTCTTATTTTCACAGTCAGTATATCACATCACAGGTGAACTTTATTGCATTTTTTTCCTATCTTTATGTTGAAAAATATTTTCATTTTATGTATTTCAGAAATAAAGTATATACTGTTTAAAGGGGAACAATTAAAATAAATCAACATGGTCTTACTGTCAAAGGTAATTATACAATTTCTTTTGAATTATCGATTACAAATATGTGTCCTTCTTTTCATATATTTTGAAAGACAAAAATCGTCCTGTGTGCATTATAATAGCATAAATCATAGGTGGGGGCACTGCAGTCCCAAAATGTCATATGTGTTATATAAAAGGGCATTTTCAGACAAAAATAACATTTTCATTCAGTAAAATTCAGGTAAAATATTAGTCGTGTGTGTGTGTCTCAAAATATAATATTTCTTACCTTTTCAGTCTTTTTATACTTTCATCAGTTATTTTTATCCATGTTACTTCACATGGGTTAATGTTAGCCGTTATGTCTGAAAATGAACAGCTGAATAGATTAGATCAACCGTGTGACATATAATCGTTTAACATTAAAATGGACATCACTCAATTACAAGATTGACAATCAAGACTTCAATTGTTATCAACACTCAGAATAAAGTAATTTGACTGGAATTTTCAATATATTCATTTTTCATTATCAATTTTTGAACTATTATAGCAAGAACGGGGATGTTTTCTGAACTGAGCTCAGATTGACTTTGACATTGTGATGTCAATTACAAGATTGACAATCAAGACTTCAATTGTTATCAACGCTCAGAATAAAGTAATTTGACTGGAATTTTCAATATATTCATTTTTCATTATCAATTTTTGAACTATTACAGCAAGAACGGGGATGTTTTCTGAACTGAGCTCAGATTGACTTTGACATTGTGATGTCAATTACAAGATTGACAATCAAGACTTCAATTGTTATCAACGCTCAGAATAAAGTAATTTGACTGGAATTTTCAATATATTCATTTTTCATTATCAATTTTTGAACTATTACAGCAAGAACGGGGATGTTTTCTGAACTGAGCTCAGATTGACTTGGACATTGTGATGTAAAGCATGGATGACCTTAACTAGCAATACATGTACAAGGTCCATTCTGGTCAAGTCAAGTTTTGTGTTTACACGACATATTCTCTATTACAACATAAACAATCAATATATTTATGTAATGATACATGTACATGTACCCATATATGCAAAAGTGTCTAACCATATATTAGGTTACAATATTTGTTTATTACATTGAAGAGGTAGGTTGGGTGGCCGATTGTTCTGAGGTGTTCACTTTAGATCATAAGATCTCTCATTTAATTAAGTGACATGATTTCGATTTCCAGCTTGTATGTGACAAAGAGTAGGTTCCCCCATTTTTCTCCCACTGCTGCTGACACCTACGCACAAGCAAATTTGTATGTCTGTTAGTTCCAAAATCATCTAGTTTGTGTATGTCTCTCTTATCACATTAAAGAAGATGATCAACTTGTCTCAAAATTGTAATGAGTCATCCCACCAACAGACCTTTTGTAATGCCATACTTGGTATGAAAAAAGGTGATGTTTTGTTTGAGTTAGTCGAAGGTTGCAAGGCATTTCAAATTTAACACTGTCCTACGATTGACAGTACTATTATGCTCAGAATGCAGTTTCCATAAACGTATCTTTAGATATTAGTCTCAGATCACTGATGTATACAGTATTAAGTTGGTATTTGATCCCAAAGAAAAGTGGTTAGAACTATCCCTATTTACACAACAATATTGAAACGCACTCAGTCCAGAATGTCTCAATCCAGCATTGAATACTGTTAAGTTAGAATATTGTTTCAGCTATATACTATACATTCGTTAAGTACTCATAGTAATATGGTCTCTGGTTCTGACCTGTCTGCGCAGTAACAGAGTTTTGTAGCGATAGTTTAGAAATCTGAGGACCTTTGTATATATTGGGGAAAAAACTGCATGTAAAAACATACCCTGCAAGAAGGAATTCAAAGAATGTTGGGAAAGTGCTACTTGCAGAAGAAAAAAAAATTCTCTCTGCACACATTTCTAATAACAAATGTATTTTGACCTAAGTAATTGTTGACATACTTATTAGTCTGCAATGTTAAATATATTTTCTTTAATTTTCTGTAAAAAGGGGGGTTGCATAGCCGAATTGTTAGTGTATGTGGGTTGTATCATAAGGTCTGTCATTGAGTCAACTGGCTCGGTTTGATTCCCTGGTTGTACGTGACAAGGAGTATGGTCACCGGTCCAACCTTATGGATTTTCTCTGGATCCTCCGGTTTCCCCCACTGCTAAAGACCCCCACGCGCAAGCGAGTTATTAAAATAAAATTGAACCATATGTTAGTCCTGAAATGACCTAGTTTGTGTCTAGTGGATATTAAACCCATTTCTCTCTCTTTTCTGTAAAAGAATTTTTTTCTAATAATAAATGTTAGATTGGATATAATATTTACCTGTTACTCAGTCAGATGTGGACAAACAGTAGACATAGCTAACAACATTCTCAGGTTGTATTTAACAGTATAAGGTGGAGTGGATTATATAGAAGTTTTTATCTCTGGTATTTATGATATGGTACTAATGTTTAATACATGTAAAGTGTACCGTAAATATACAAATATTATAGTCAAAAGTTAACTTGAGAATGTTCTAGTTTATTGGTTATCTCCCTCGTCCGGTACTACTATTTGTCTCCATATGTACATTTAACTGTTGCTGAAATTGGCAAAAGGGGAGGGGCATTTGTCCCCCCCATAAATGTGGTCTGCCCTCTGTTTACTACCTGTATATACTCTCTATCCGGTCAACACCTATCCAACATATCTATCATATCTATACACCTGGACAGCCATTTTCTCTAAAACTAATGTTAAAATATGTTCAAAAATATTCTACCTCATAGGTCCAGGTACAAAGGTATCTTAAGAAAAGTGAGTATTTTCTTTAGTCCGCAGATCAACATGTTGTTAAGTTATGATTATTTAAAATTAGAAGAATATGAATTTTAAGGTGTGCCTGCTAAACCCCAGGTCCAGACATTTTAAGAAAAGTGCTAACTGCTAAAAGGTTGTCATTCTCATGGGGTATTCTCCCTGATTTTTATGTTTTTGTCCCCCCCCCCCCCCATAAATGTGGTCTGCCCTTTGTTTCCCCCCCCCCCCCCTCAATAAAGTTTAGAAAAAAAAAAGTATTTGTGATATGTTTTGGTAATCAATACCTTCTACGGTAACTTCTAATGTCAGACAGCATTTCCATCTGGCGCTCGTGAGTGGGCTTCGTTGAAGTTCGCAAGTCCATCCATTTGACACTTTATCTCAACTATCAGTACCTGGAATACTGCCAGACTGCATTTCCAGTAGCCTGTTTTTCAAAAATGTCTGGGGGAGCCCCTCCCCCTTTCTCCCCAAGTTGAAGCTTGTGCCTTTTCCCCCTAACCTTGGATTTTGCTCCAGCTTTGCCCCTGCAACCACTGGCGGCTGGCGCCGCCATTGTTATAATTGGCAATATCAGGCTCAACTTCATGCTTTTTGTTTGGCACATATTTTGTTTGTTTCCTGTAATCTATTCAAGTCATGGGTTTGATACCAGGGTAGGTTCGTCTACCAAACATTGCAGCTCGTTGTCCCACTTGAAAGTAAATGGTTGACTAAAACCTAAAACACTGGACATCTCAAATTTGTATTTAGTCATTCAGGCGGGATCAAATTATATGTACATGTAGGTCTAGTATGTGCAGTGCAATTCATGGCTTGTGCAGTTATGACACTCTAAGCTAGACTTTGTTGAAATTTTAAATGTGATCTACGACATAAAAAAAATGTTCAAGTTTGGTACATGCCCTTTTGACATTTCAATTTCATTCTAAAAAGGGGTATTCGTTAAATGGATCTGTCTTTAAAATAAAAAAAAAAGATCCTTAATCTTGTCTTCAGTAAAACTTTGTTTAGTGAAATCAATGGAAGAATTGTCGTACAAGGTTGAAATCAAATTTGTATAAAAGGCAAAACTAGTTGACTTAAAACATTTGAGGAAGAAAAGTAAAGACCGCCGTAATCATTCATCAATTCCAAACCCGTAACTTGTGGTTTACAATACTAGATTTAATATTGATTGATGTCTAGATTATACCAGTCTAGTAAATAGAATAGTCATTCTATCTTATTATTTGTATTTAAGTCTGGATAATTTCGACCACAAATAAAAATTTTGAAGTTGGGGTACTGGGATATGTTCTTGAAGTATTTTCTGTTGCGTTAAAAACTTTGAAAATCAACAATAGCAGAATGTTGGCATGACAATTATATCTTATTTGTGGGAAGTACTTTTTAATATGAACTATCTTACCAAACTTTCGCTCTAAATGACCTAATATGGTATGGTATGTTTTTACCCTTTGCATCAAATAGTAAATTTAATTGTGTGTTTCCTTTTATATTGTGTTACTGTTCCAAACAAGTTTTAGATACCTGTAGTTTTTTAATGAACAAAGTGGGAAAGTGTTAAAAATGTAAACTAGACCAATCTGGCATTCATTAAATTTGAGTAATCTGTATCAAAGCAAGTTTTAGGAAAGGTGGGTAGACTTTGTAAACATGTAAAGATGTAGTTATTCCACCTAGATGAGTGATTAACCTAAAATGTTGGTGTGAGGTCACCTTGTAAAATATTTGTTGATTGGAAGTAAACCTGTGATACTCAACCTGGTGCTTAGTATAATCCAGGTACATATAAAAAATTAACCTATTTTCCAAATAATGGTAGTTAGGGTGACTGAGTTGTCTGAAACATGCACTGGAGATTATTAAGGCCTGTTATCTAAGTAAATCATGGTTTGATCCATGACAAGGAATAGGTTCATTTGCCTAACATCACAGTGTGTTTTGGGATACTCAGATACATTTCTAAAGGCATCTGCGGGCAAGCAAATTATTGAAAAAAAATGTAAATTAAGCTAGTCTCAAAATAACATAGTATTCTCTCCCTCCTGAAATGATCCGAACACCTTTGATGTTAGTCGAAATAAAAAATACTGAGAATCGGTAATGATGGACGAAATCTAAACAATTGAATTTTTGTTGGTTTGTTTACTAATTTTGGCTTAAAATATTGACAGTGGAACATGCAACAGTTATATCTCAACATTGGCTGCATTTATATGTAGACAAATACCCATTTTACAAACCAATTCCATACATCAAACTTAATTCAATTGACCTTGTTTTATTTTTAGCTAAATCAAGAGGTCTGGTCATTTTGAATTGATTTTTTTTTTTGTATGTTTGGTTCAATTTTCCCGATTGATCGTAAGATTGGAAAGATGTAGAATGTTTACAGTACAGTATGTATGATATGATGTACATAAGTTTATTTACAATGATATATCAGTTTACTAACTGTATATACTCTCTATCAGGTCAACACCTACCCGACATATCTATCATATCTATATACCTGGACAGCCATTTTCTCTAAAACTAATGTTGAAATATGTTCAAAAATATTCTACCTCGTAGGTCCAGGTACAAAGGTATCTTAAGAAAAGTGAGTATTTTTTTTAGTCCGCAGGTCAACATGTTGTTAAGTTATGATTATTTAAAATTAGAAGAATTTGAATTTTAAGGTGTGCCTGCTAAACCCCAGGTCTAGACATTTTAAGAAAAGTGCTAACTGCTAAAGGGTTGTCATTCTCATGGGTTATTCTCCCTGATTTTTATGTTTTTGTTCAGACAACTCATTCATGTACAGCTGAAATTGTGTGATTTGATAGTTATTAAAAGTTTATAAAAGTATATTTCATTGCTCATTATACTATACATCAGTTCATCAATTGAATGAGTAGAAACTTTGAAATTACTAAGTTTTGATAAATTAATTAGAATTACGTTGTATACCTGGTATAAGTCGATGGCATTGATCTTTCGTATTTTTAAAAATATATGATGCATTATATTTATTTTGTATTTATCTTTTCAGGGTGACCATGTTTGGTTGGAACCAGAAACCCGGGGGGAATTTAGTGTTGCCCTTGGTGCAAAAGTTCAGTTCTCAGAATCTGGACGAATTAAGGTCATTGACGATGATGGCCATGAACATTGGATCGAAGGAAAAATACAAATTAAACACATGCACCCAACCTCGGTAGATGGTATGGAAGATATGATTGGTTTAGGAGATTTAAACGAAGCTGGAATTTTACGAAATCTTTTTATACGTTATATGGACAACCTTATATATGTAAGTACATAACACACACATTATACATATGTTTTAGTCCCAAAATGACCTAGTTTGTGTCGTGCGGACGTTAAACCCCATTTCTCTCTATATATATGTAATTCAATAAAACCTTGAACACTTCATACTAGATATGTAACATTCAGTAAATTCCTCTTATTGAAAGAATAATCTAACTTATCTGACTTTTCTAGGTCTTGGGTAACTTTTTATAAGGATGTCGGCCAGTAGAAACACTTTCTTTGAATTTCTTTGATAGTAAAACTAGATTTAAAGAGGCATAATCTTGTGACTGAAAATTATTGTAATTAATTTTTAAAAATATCATTATCCGAAATAATCTATCAAATATCTATTCAATGGTTGACTTTAGAGTAAGGTATTTTATATCGAAAGTTAAAACATGTATATCTCGGCAGTCGCTTAGCAGATTATGCATACAGACCGATTTCAACACACCTAATTTAAAGTAGCTAAGTCTCTAACTCAATATCATCCAAAATTTTCAACATTGAAAACACGATTTATTTGTCAAATTAAATCAACAATGATGTTGTGATCTTACCGGAAAAAGATGGGCTTTTGATATCCAATATTTAAGACAAAATAAACATTTTACCATTGGTACACGAATTGTGTACCATAATGCGCTTCAGCCCCAGTTGCATCAAGAGACTCGAGGGACGAGGCTAGACACATTGCACCAAATCAAACGGCGTATGTAGACTGGAATAACCAGACGCTAGAAATTTGCACTCGCTTGAGACTGCTGGCTTATTTCGCCGAACATAACTGATTTGAAATTAGAGTAAAAACGGAAACCATTGAATGTAAATCAGTTTATATACATTCATATTACAGTATTATATGCGTTGCGACCCACTTTTGTCAATTTCTAGGTCCCAAATGTTAGCGATTTAGCTCCTTTAACTGACTAATCTGTATCAAATCAATTCAAATCGAAAAGATCACCTGAGCTCTATTACTTGATCTGTAAAGCATAGGACAATCTGTTTGTTTAAAGGTAATATAACATTCAACAGCTTTTTTATTTATTTAATCTTTTATTTTTGTAGACATACACAGGGTCTATTTTAGTAGCTGTTAATCCTTATGAAGTGCTGCCAATCTACAATGCTGAACAGATAACTCTGTATCGTGATCGGAAGATAGGAGAGTTACCTCCCCATATATTTGCCATAGCAGACAACTCGTACCACAACATGAAGAGATATCAACATGACCAATGTGTTATTATAAGGTTAGTCATGTCAGTTTCTTCTGTTATGGTTAAGAAAAGCGTGTTATGGGTTTGTGACTTCGGCTCTTTTCACCATGATTGAACGGCCAATGAAATATCTAGATAATCAAAGCCTTTGAAAAGATTTAACCCCTATGTGCACAAGTGAATTATAAAAAATACTATATACCATTTGTTAGTTATGAAATGACCTGGTTTGTGTCGAGTGGATGAAAAATTATTCAAATTTGAATATTTGTGTGAGCTCTACTGTAGCAATGTAAATGAGCTGATAATGCACAGAACCATTGCTTAAGAAATACGGATATTCATTTCGCTTCAAGAAATCTTACCTAAATAAAGAATATATGGTTATATTTGTTTCTTTCAGTGGTGAATCTGGCGCAGGAAAGACAGAATCCACAAAACTTATTCTACAGTTTCTGGCAGCTATTAGTGGTCAACATTCATGGATTGAACAACAGATTCTAGAGGCTAACCCTATCATGGAGGGTAAGTTGATAGACAAGATTATACGACAGTTTTAATAGGTTACCCATTAATAAATCTGGGTTCAAGTATGCAAATCTAGTGTCCAAATGTGGAGAAACAACCTTGCACTATGACTAGGGCAATGACACAATGTAAATATTTAAACGTTAACCTGTTTCCGGTGGAAAGTTTTCATGACAAAATTTTGTTTATGTCATAAAATCTTTTTTTAAAAAAAAATATAATATAGTGGCCATGTATGAATAATTTTATATCTTTTTTTTTCAGCTTTTGGAAATGCCAAGACGATACGAAACGATAATTCCAGCAGATTCGGAAAGTATATTGACATCCATTTTACGGATAAAGGTGTTATAGAGGGTGCTAAGATAGAACAGTATTTATTAGAGAAATCGCGTATAGTTAGTCAGGCTAAGGACGAGAGAAACTATCATATTTTTTATTGTATGTTGATGGGAATGACTCGAGAAGATAAAAATAAACTGGAGTTAACAGAAGCTAAGGATTATTTTTACCTCATACAGGTCAGTACAGTGTGGATTATTATTAACTCATTAAAGGGGATGAGTCAAAAGTAGAAACCATTTTTGATTCAGATTCTTTGTGATGAATAGTGACAAGAAATAGAAGACACGTTAAAACGTGTCTTCTATTTCTTGTCACTGATCTGTACCGTTGACCAATTTTAATGGTAGACTGGGCTGCAGCATTGTCTGGTGTACTTACCGGTAGCTCCAATTGCCCCTTTAACTGCAGCAGAATTACAACAACAATCTTCTCTCCTAAACACCACTAAGATAAAGATATTTTCATTAAAAGAGGGAAGTGTAACGCATAGCCACATTTCTAAACCAATATGAATGTCGGCGTAACTTTTCTTGCAGGGTAAAAGTATAACATGTGAAGGAAGAGATGATACAAAAGAATTTGCTGACATCCGATCAGCCATGAAAGTTTTAATGTTTAAAGATGATGAAATCTGGGAAATCCTTAAAATTCTTGCCACCCTTCTCCATATTGGAAATATACAGTATAATGGTAAGTATTCCAGCTGTCTTCCCACCTGAAAATAATTAATTCATGTCTAATTCTAGGACTAGCCAACAAGAGGATTTTCCCAGCCTGCTCCTAATGTTTGGTTGTATATATTTTCTTTTCAATATTTTAGTATTACGATTTGACTTACATAATGTATTTATTGCAGCTATTGAATTAGATCATTTAGAAGCTACAGAGATTCAAGATATCAGTCATATAAACAGTGCTGCTAGATTATTACAGGTCAGTTTTACAGCAATGCAGATATTTCAAATAGATTTACTTTGATAAAAAAAAAAAACTATATCAGAATCTTTTTGGAGATTCTTATTTCAGAAATATTTTATGTAGGACTTCGCATAATGATTATATTTGTATCCGACAAAATGCCAGACACAGCTGGAATTTTACCCAACATTTTTGACTTAATGCAGGACATTTGATAAAGATATTAATAAATTCACAGAGTAAAGACAAATCTGTGCCAGACAAGATAACAAATAAGAGAGGAATTGTCTGACAATGACTGAATCTGTGCCCAACAATGTCAGTGACAACTGGCTTAATTAATTCAAGTCTTGTATAAGATATTGTTTCATTTCTTTACAGGTTGATGCTCAATCATTGGTTGATTCATTGACAACCAAAACTATCTTCACAAGTGGAGAAACGGTCACATCCACGATGGGTCTAGCTGCATCATTAGATGTCCGTGATGCCTTTGTTAAGGGTATCTACGGTAGAATGTTCATCTGGATTGTAGAGAAAATAAATGCTGCCATCTTTAAACCAATGAGTGCATCTTCACACTATAGAAAGTCCATTGGTGTTCTCGATATTTTTGGTTTTGAAAATTTTAATAAAAACAGGTATGTAAGAGATTTTATGTTTTTGATACGGTACTTGTAATCTTAATTCTTAAGGTGTATAGAAAATCATACAACAATCTGATTGAAATACAGATCTATATTTCGTTTCGCTTTTTTTTTCTTTCCATGGCCTCTACTACATGAAGATCTGACCAGTTGTAGTGGGACGTCGCGTCAGGGGTCATACTAACGGCTTTTGACCTATGGCATCAGACATTTGATTAACCAATCGGTATTAAAAGTTTCTAGTGGGATACCCACAGTTCCGTGCACCACACGCCAAGAACTTGCCATAACGGACCGTTTCATTGGCTAATCCCTCACATCCTAGTGCAGTAAAGACAAGTAAAATGAAATTTTGAACTATAAAAAGCGACACCAAACGGGATCTGTGTTTTAATCAGACAGCTAAGGAATCTGAAGAGCTACTTTAGATGATTCCAATACATGGTCTCCATCAATCTGATGCAGAGATGGTAGAAATGTAATTTTATGATTAATGAAAACAATCTTTCATATTTCAATGAATGGGGTTTAATGTCCTGTCAATACAATATTTCAACCATTAGGAGACTAACATATGGCATTTCCTCCTTTCATTGTCAAGCTCAAACTGCCAAAGATTCTTTGTGCGATCAGAATGACTAAGCACATTTTGCTTGTCAGTCCTACAACCATCAACCCTCACAAGTGAGAACTGGGCTTAAGATTCAAATTAATGTATGGTATTTTATTTTTATGTTTTCAGTTTTGAACAATTATGTATTAATTATGCTAACGAGAACCTACAACAGTTCTTTGTTAGGCACATATTTAAACTAGAACAGGTATGTCAACTTAACCTCTTGTTTCCAAAGATAAAGTGAACATCAGCTTGGCTTGTATCCAAATTTTAGTTCCATTGTCGCCCTTCAACAAAATTTTGATTAAAAGACAGATGGTCATACTATAAACAAATGTATGAACACATAAAATGCAATGAAATTGAAAATTTTATTTTTGATCATGATGATAGAAATGAAATGAAATGAAACAGGGTTTAATGTTCTGTTCCGACTGGGCTAATGAAGATGGGCATACATCATACAGTGTGCTATGGGGTAAATTTTTCCCAGAGAGCAGCGCTACAGCCTACTCTTATATCAAATTCCAACTGCCAATGGATCTTTTACGTACACGCCTATGTATACATGGGACCTCAGTTTTTGGTCCCATCCGAACGACTAGACACCTGTCCTGGTCTGGCCCTCCGTTCTGCACCACTGACAAGGGGGAACCATGTCAGAAAGTTATGAACTTTTTCGGCCAACATGGGGAGCAAACCCCCGACCTCCAGCCTAGCGATCTAGTATAAAAAAATTAATAATGAATGATAAATGTCTGTACTTGTTTAGTCGCGACTAAAATGTATTTTATGGTTCAAATTTCTTTATACAATAAAGAAAGGGTAAACTGTTGGCTGTGTGAGGTTCCCAAGTAATGTAGAAGGTGATACCAGGTTTTCCAGAAATAGTAAGCAAACCTCAACCAATGCACTAACAGTTTTTAAATTATTTATATTTTACAGCAAGAATATAATTTAGAAGGTATAAATTGGCAACATATTGAATTCGTAGATAATCAGGATGCTTTAGATATGATTGCTGTCAAACCAATGAATATTATGGCGTTAGTTGACGAAGAAAGTAAATTCCCTAAGGTAATTTTATTAGTTCTCATAATTTTAGATCTGAAAAAACATAACATCTCTTCTGTCTCTGAGAATGATTATTTTAGTTGCACAGTGAACATTAATAATGAGTGTTTCCGTTTGAATTTTTTTTACAGGGAACAGATACGACCATGTTGAATAAATTACATCAACACCATTCAGACAATCAGAATTATTTGAAACCAAAATCATCTCATGTCACATCTTTTGGTCTTAATCATTTTGCTGGAGTGGTTTTCTACGATGCTAAAAGTTTGTACCTGTTTCATTTTATTATAGTTTTATTATGTCTGTCCGTCCATCAAGTGGTATTTATATTCACTCCACTAAGTTCTACATTGATTGTAAAGATTGTCCCAACTGAATTTGAGTGTTTGCAGAAAATTACTTCCAGAGTTATTGCCTGTGACTGATTATGATCATTACAGTTCAGGATCATTATCTAAAAAACTTGTGTGCATTCGAAGAAAAAATAAGAGAAAAGAATCAGGAGATCCAGTCTTATTAAAGACTGGAGGACAAAGTTGTTGGTGGGTGTATTTTACATTGCTTGTCAAGCTATGTTATATAAGTGTGTTTTGTACCTATAGCCATCTATTTTCCATGGTCGACTTTTAAAAAGAATTATACTCACACATTTACCTATAGTCTAGTTCATATATACTAGAAAAAAATTGACAATTTATTTTTCACTTTTTCTTTTATGTGTTTGCAGGATTTTTGGAGAAGAATCGTGACACATTCAGTCCAGATTTGGTTAATCTTATCAATAATTCCAAAAGTAAATTTATTAATAAATTATTTAATGAAGATATGTCCATGGTAAGTTTTAGAAAAATTACTTAATGATAATAATTCTTATTTAAATTTCATGATTTTATCACATTTTGTTTTCTGAAAGTTTGATGAAGAAATGGGTTATTAGTCTGACAATGTTAAATGAGGAAAGGACCATTCTTAAAACTCCAGCTTTTTATTTACTCCATCACATGGCTTCTGTATATGATGGCATATGATTTAAAGAAGTCTTTGACTTGTACCATAGTTAAACTGAATGTTTTTGATATAAAAAACGCAATACCAATACATCGCAAATAAATCTAAAAAATAATTTAACCAGTTAAACTTTGAATCTTGTAAAATGTACAGACAACATTTATTAAAGATACATTATGGGAGATTAGATAAAGAGCTGACAGTTCTGACTATAATAGTTAAAAACTAGATAATGTAAAGGGAATTTGCTGAAAATTTCAGTCAAATTGATCAACTGTGAACCGAGAATTTAGTGATTGAATTTTTCGATCTAGCCTTGATCATCATTACTAAAGTCGGTACGATAAAAAACAGTCTCGATTATCCATTTCATGATTAAATCATGATCCTAATCCAATAAATATCGCAGGCTAGCAATGACATCGAGAGTTGATTATGGTCTGGATAAGTCAAATTAATAATTTAGATAACATTTCAGGCCTAAAGAAAGACCTGAAATAGGCAGATTTAGCCTTTTGCATAATGTATGTTTAAAGACATAGAACGCGGAAAACCTCTACCACCAATGTGGAACGATTCCATAAATAGCTATATTCTCATGATTTCATTTTGTCTTATATTTCAAAGGGAATTCTGATCTGTGCAATATTCTTGTGTCCTGTATTTTATATATGAAGAGAAATTTGATATGAAGGTGATAATATGTGATACATTGCTAATGATGTATTTGTTAATAACTAATATATCTGTTTTTCAGGGTACAGACACTAGGAAAAAATCTCCCACGTTAGCAGCTCAGTTCAAGAGATCTCTTGATGCATTGATGAAAACGCTCAGCAGCTGTCAGCCATTTTTCGTCAGATGCATTAAACCTAATGAATTTAAAAAGCCTAAGGTAAAAAGATCTTATACTTTAATACCAGGAAAAGATCTAATGTTGAATGTCAACAAAAGACTGTGCATGTTTTCTCCAGTTTCCTTCCAATGTCAGATCTCATCCCAATCGCAATATATATTTTACGGTTGGTTTGTTTATAACAGAAAGCTAGCTACTGGTTTAACCCTTTCATTATTTTCAGTGTCATTCCATTTATGGGTAAATTAGAAACATTTTATAACAATTTCAGATATTTGATAGAGAATTATGCTGTAAACAACTGCGATATTCTGGTATGATGGAGACTATTAGAATTCGACGGGCTGGATATCCAATCAGACACACATTTAATGAATTTGTGGAGCGTTATAGATTATTGTGCGCTGGGATTGGCCCCGCACATAAAGAAGATTGTCGAGCAGCGTCGTTAAAGATTTGTCAAGCTGTTCTAAAGAATACAGATTACCAACTGGGAAAGACTAAAGTTTTCTTAAAGGTTTGTAATTGTTTTTATGAATTTCTATTAATGGAAATACAAGGCAAGTGTACCCAGTAGAAGACCTGTGCACTTTAATAGCCTGTATGGTTTGATTTTTTATTTGTCTTCAATTATCTAGTTTTAAAAGGGTTTCCATGATGTAAGACCCAAAGTACAAATCATTTAATTAACAAATTAGGATGCTATATGTGATATCATCATGGTAACTATTGAGTCACTGTTTACAAACAAAACCCTGTTCTGATGCTATTTATTAAAAAAAGAAGCTTGGCATAATTAAGATCAAACTTCTCAGAAAGATATATTTGATTGAAAAACTAATTTTTCTACAGGATGCTCAAGATGCTTATTTGGAACAGCAGAGAGAGGTGATGTTAGCCAACAAGATCCTTATTATACAGAAAACTGTACGTAGTTGGCACTGTCGACGTCGCTTCCTCAAAATGCGTAAAAACATTATTACTATCCAATCAGCATGGAGGTGTTTTGCTGAACGAAAAAGATTTATTAGGGTTAGTACACTTAAACCGATTGGACAATATTATGCAGATGACTATTGAAGTATTTGTTAAAATTACTAGACTTATTTGATTAGGGTAAAAATAAAAGGGTGGATTTAATTAAATTTGATGTGTTAATTTGCAGTTTGAAGTGGGTATCTGTCGTCTAAATTTAGAATTTTTAGGTCGACAGATAGAGCCAATATTGAGATGTAGCTGAATGTTTGTTCTACAGTTTGAGCCATAAAGCTGAAACTAAAATTAGAAAACAATTTATCTTTCACTTTATCTTTTGAAATGATTTATTTTCCTTGAAATTTTTTGGGGGTAAATTTTCTTTTGTTAGATGAACAATTGATGTAGCACGACACATTAATGCAACAACCTGAATAGATTCGACTTAAATGCATGTTGAAATTAATATGTATGACTAGCTGCACTCTAACCTTGTAGTTTTAAAAGATATATGTATCTTTACAGATGCGACAAGGTTACATGCGTCTACAGGCATTATGTAGATCTAGAATTTTAACAATGAGATACAATGTTCTGCGTAGCATCATTATGAACTTCCAGGTGAGAAAATTCAACATTATTCAGTATAAAGCATTATTTACCTGGATTAAGTCAAGAAGAGTCAGTAGGATAACACATTTGGGAATTCGAAACATTAGTCTGTCTGTTTGCATTTGACAGAAATGCATATTCGTAATGTATAATATCCAAGAAAAGTAAATAGAAAGGCTGTGGTCAAAGCAAATTTCTTGTCCTTTGCAGGGGGGGGGGGGGAGGGATGGCCGAATGGTTAGCACGTGCACACTAGTTTGTGTCAAGTGCATTACATTGGAAGGAAATGACACAGCTATAACCACTCAGTTACATGTTCAGATCAATCATTACAACACTTTTACGTGTATTCCAGTCAAAATTCCTATAATTGTATAGAAATTGCCTCTAAAAGGAGGTTATTTCTTCAAAGTTAGTTTTATGTCTGGAGACCGTGGTAATGAAATATGTCATATTAGTAAAATTATATTAATCTTTAAGTGTCATTTAACGATTGGGAAACACATTAACAGGACACAATTTTTATTGGAAACAATCACTAGTTTTATTCTAAAAGCACGACGTTTCGACAAGTATCCTCTTATCGTTATCAAGCACAATTAGCATCTTTTAGCTTTCAAGTCAAAGGCTGATTCCAAGTAAACATATCATCATTTGTATTTATCCTCATTTTTTGGTGTTATCAGAGATATGCTCGAGGCCATCTTGTACGACAGTGGGTACAGAAACGTGTGATTGCTGTGGTAAAGATTCAGTCATCAGTTAGAACATTGATTGCTGTAAAGAAATACAACAGAATGAAGATAGAGGTACAAATTTTTCTTTTTCTTTTTTTTTTTTGACAAGAATTCCTGTAAACCTATTGCTTTTGGACATAATTTCTTCTATCTGGATATCTATCTGTATAAACGAAATCCTGTCTATTTTCCAGATCTCAATATTTTATTTTTACTTTAGAAATATTTTCCTTTCTTCAGGGTGCTAACGACCAGCTTTGACCTTTCACCAGCACAAGCTAGTCACTTGCAGTCTGTAATTTTTTTATCTAGGTCATAAAAACATCATACTTTTATTTATAAGTTCTCAGGTTGTACTAGATAATCTAATTAAACTCATGCAGGGAACATATCTTTAAAGAAATCTTCCGTAAGGCATGATTGACCTACTGAGTACAGTTTTATCTGAAAGTATATTTCTAAAGACAAGGAAAAATCAAAGACTCAAATTGCCTTTGGCAACCACATTAAAATTTCAAGATTGTCAAAAAAGCTTCTTGAAACATTTAAGGTTTTTGGAAATATAGATTTTGAACAGTCTTTATATTCCGAACATGTCCGACACTATTTTCCAAACCTCCTAAATTGTCCGACCAGGAATATGCCCAATCGGACATCAAGACGTGAATAATATTCAAAATTCCAAAATTACTGAGTGTATAACTACCACTCAACCCGATTATCGTTGATAATAGGCTGGATTTATTAAGCAATTAATTTTGATTAGGTAGTTAATTGTTTTACATGATAACGTGTGCAAGTGCTATTATTTAGCAGATGATGTCACTGGCTCGGAATCGTGGAGCGACGGTCACTGCCAAAACATTTTGGGGATGTCTTTTCTATTTTCTTTTTTTTTTACCTCCATCGGTATAGCAGTCAAAACGTAGTATAAGATGAATGCCGGATTTCTGCTGAAGAAAGTATTTGACGGTAATTTTGGAGGTGATTTTGAACAAAAGTACCAGTCGACAGTAGTCGGCATGCTTTCATTCTATCGTATTACGACAACACTTATTTTTGTAGGAATATTACTGACATAAATTTGAAAACCGTATGAGAATTAAATATAAAAAAATAACGAGGCGCACCTAATTTTTTTATTACAGACGAATTTGAATATTTTGTTGACACATGATTTTTAATTGTGATCTGAAACCATCTGCTTAAATAACGATAAGAGTTATGCCCCTTTATTTTTGGTAAAAATGTCCTACAAGAAAAATTTGAAATCCCATCACTTATATTGAATCATTATGTAAATTATCTCCATGGAGGACTTTTCCTTAACAAAAAAATGTAATCTTCTACAGTTTTCAATACCCGTACATGGAATTCTGAGTCTACCAACATTACAATTTCTTCTAGTCATGTAAAAATAAAATTTATATATTCTGAACAGTTGAAGAAGAGACTTGAGGCTGAACATCTGAGACAAGAAGAAGAAAAGCTTCTTAGGAAAAAGATGAACACTAAGACTGCAAAAGAGGAAGCTGAAAGACATCATCTGGAACGTCTAGCTGAGATTGAAAAAGAGGTTATCCAAGAAGAACAACTGGAAAGAAAAAAAGCTCAATATAAAAATAAACAAATTGAAGATGCCGAGAGAAATCGAAATGAAGATGTGGATGAAAGTAAATTGGTAAGATAATTTTAAGAAACAATATTGCTAATGGCATTACATAGAGGGGTTCTTCATGCTATTCCAGTGGGTACTACAGCCTATATTCACAGGATTATCTGATACTCATCTGGTATAAAAGGTTTATTATCACTAAAGTAAGTTTTAATATATATACAGGATCAAAAGCTCCCTAAGCAGCCTGATTGACCATGCCACACCTTCACAGTTTCCCTCCCTCCCCCTTCTCACTGGTCACTATGCTTCTCTCCATTCGTACTAGCAAATGGGTGCCTATTCCTTTCAATCTTGCAATAGCTTATGTGATTTACTCCGGTACACATTGATAGAAAACTATTAAGCTTTCAACTGTGATTAAGGCTTATTTCTTTTGATACTTCCAATACACTGATTATCCCTGCACTGTATTCAGTCTTGAATTTAGTTTCAAGTATGATCTATTACATTCTGCAGCCTTTTTTAGTTTAAGAAATTAAACCTCTTTGATTTAGGACAATATATAATATTGAATTAGGGGAAGCTGATATGTTATTTCAATTAGTGGTGGGGCTAGTTCTGTATGAATAAATTGGGAGTAATGTGTCAACACTGGAACACTGAATTGGTGATATCTCGGCAATGATTTAATCTGTAGATGTAAAATTCTCAATGACTAGCATTTTTTTTCTTAAAATTTTCTTTATCTGAATATATTTTTTGTAGATTACAGATCTGTTTGGCTTTGTGGGAAGTGCTGGCGATGGAGGGACAGTCGATTTCTTGACCAATCAGGCCTACGCCGTAAGTAAATAATTATAATTATAATTCAGCATATTATTTATGATTTTATATTGTAAAGAATTGGTGATTACCAATTTCTGAAAGACTTATTAAGAATTCTATTTTTTCCCTTGGCTTAGAGCAAACTATTATCAGCTAATGAAAAGTCTACGTTTTAGTTTTATTTTTCAAGAGATGGGCATCCCAACTATAGTTTGTGGTTAGTAATTAAAATGCTAAAATTTAAAGCTGTATTTTTGTTTTGACAGATGATATTGAACTCAACAAGGTATAGTTTTTGTTCATATAAATAAATCGTTTTTGTTATTATCATTCTATGAATTAAATAAACAAATAGTTATTAAACTTTTGCCATGTTGACTGGCAACACTTGTTTTTCAGGATATTGGCGATGCGAAACGACCTCAGATTGCAGAAGATGGAGATAGACTTATTGGGTTTGATGAAGATGATGATTTGGAAGAAATTAAAGAACACAAGTTTGGAAAATTTGCGGCCACATATTTCCAGGCAAATTCATCCCATTATTTCAGCCGTAAAGCTCTACGACAACCTCTGTTACCACTTCGTAATGAAGGTGATCAGTTGGTAAGTATTAAATGGTTGGGTGGTAGCCCTACTATATAGTTTTGATACACCCACATTTTTATGTGGACGGTTTTTGTCGTCGCCCCTGTCCGTCCATCCATCCACAATTTGTTTGTGGACACTCTACAGGTCACAATTTTTATCTGATTTTAAGATATATTATCCCCCAAAGATCTTGGTTCCTTTTGAAATTGGCATATATTGTACCATAACTTCAGGGATTATGGCCCCTGATTGTACGAAAACTCAACTTTAGATGTCACAATTTTTTATCCGATTTTAAAAACCGTTTAAATATATCACCGTTCCACTATAATGAAGTTTGAGTTTGAATGTTCGGAAAATCAAAACAAAACTGCCCGACAAAATGGCCACTCCTTGTACACAAATTGTGTAAAAGTATGTAATACGTCAATGTGGACCCTCTAGACATCACAAGTTTTGTCCGCTTTTGATGAAACTTAAAATAATCTTTATATCACAAAAATCTCAGTTGCTTTCGATATTGTCCGCAAAATCTTGTTTGTTTTTTTTTTACCTAGTTCTCTGTCCATCTCTTGCGAAATTGGGCTATCTGGCACAGCAACTGCTTAAGAGATTCTACAGTGACATATCAGTGCATTTGAAGAGACATTTCTGTAGTTATATTGGGTCATAAATACTTTGGTACAGTACCCAAAATTCACAGTATTGTACTGAAGTATATATTACCTTATATACTTGGAGTACTGAAAGGCTTGTTCTTATATTTACAGTGCATTACTTCACAAAATCATTTATTTGAATAAATATTTCATTTCTATTACATATTTCTATTTATGTGATAAATGCTATTTACGAGTTTGAAAAATGTTAGGAATGAGCTGCACAATAATCATGTATATGTCATCAAAATGTATGCGACATTGGCAACTGTAGTTTATTGGTTTATAAACTCTAATTTCTGTGTCACAGTTTATGTAAGAAACTGTAAATATTACACAATACAGTAATATTAAAATATTAATTAATGAGGAAGGCCCGGTTCTTACAGGGTCTCCAAAAATTGTTATTAACTATGCAAATCAATAGTAAAATGTGAAGAAATTACCTATATTTGTTTTGGTGAAACTAAAAATATTTGTGTGAAAGCGTCAATTTGCTTTCTGTTTACAGGCTGCCTTGGCTGTTTGGATTGTGATATTGAGATTTATGGGTGATTTGCCTGAACCTAAATACCACACTACGATGGCAGAAAACATTCGGGTAAATGTTCAATGTTATTATAATTTGTGAAGAGTCGACCAAATGTATCCTCGTGTGGCTTAGAATTAATTTTTTTTATTATACATTGCATTATTTATGTTAATTTGTTTGTGTATGAAACATTTCTAAATAAATACTAGACTACTAGAACATTATGTGAGGGCTAATGACCTTCACTAAAATATTTCAAGTGCCTTTCTTATTCTTAAAAGAATACAGACCAAAAACTTAAATATTTACAAAAAATTTGTCAAAAAAAAAACCAAAGCAAATATATGATTTTATTAATCTGGTTGAAAATACTTGGATCTATCTCGTGCTGCCAATATCGTGTTCTACTTTACTTTTCGTAGAATTTCATTATGGAAATGATTTGTTTTGTGTGATTATTTTCTGCAGGATAACACCCCAGTGATGTCTAAAATCTACTCAACTTTAGGTAGAAAATTCAATAAAAAAGATCTGGAGGAAGCCATGAGAATGGGAGAGGAAATGGTAAACTAAATTTCTGAATCTGCAATTAGTAAAACATTCTCAAATATATCTAAGTGTTCTAAAATTGAACACTTGATAAAAGCAGGAATATTGAATGACAAATTACAAGAGAACTGAATATCAAGATCGATCCACTGTAGCTGAAAAATGTTCACTATGTTTGATTTAGTTATAATTTCACTCATACCATATTTGTTACCAAAAATGAGTTTAAAGGGGAAGACAAACGATTTTCAATAAGGTTTCCATAAATAATAAATATATATTTAGAAATAATCCCTCCTATAACATATGCAAAAAAATAATTTGTAAGCGAGAAATTAATTTTTATACGCCCACATTTTCATGTGGACGTATTATGCCATCGCCCCTGTCCGGACGTCCGTCCGTCCACAATTGTTTGTGGACTCTCTACAGGTCACAATTCTTATCCGATTTCGACGAAACTTGAAATATAGGTTTATCCCCAAAAGATCTCGGCTGCTTTCGATATTGGCATGTATCGGATCGAAACTTCATGGATTATGGCCCCTGTTTGTACGAAAAATCACGTTTTTAGCTTGTGGACCCTATAGAGGTCACAATTTTTATCCAATTTTGTTGAAACTTGAAATGTAAGTTTATAACCCAAAGATCTCAGTTCCTTTCAATATTTGCGCATATCGGACAGTAACTTCCTGAATTGTGGACCCTATAGAAGTCATAATTTTTATCCGATTTAAAAAACCGTTCTATTATATCACCGTTACACCCTAAGGATGACTGAGTTCGAATTTCGTGAAAATCGGCCCAAAATTGACAGACAAAATGGCCGCCATTCGTTCCCAAATAGCGTAAGAATATGGTATATCAAGGTTGTGGACCCTATAGGGGTCACAATTTTTATCCGATTTTGTTGAAACTTGAAATGTAAGTTTATAACCCAAAGATCTCGGTTCCTGTCGATATTCGTGCATATCGGATCGTAACTTCCTGACTTATGACCCCTGATTGTACGAAAAATCACGTTTTTATCTTGTGGACCCTATAGAGGTCATAATTTTTACCCGATTTAAAAAACGTATTATTATATCACCGTTACACCCTAGGGATGACTGAATTCGAATTTCGTGAAAATCGGCCCAAAATTGACAGACAAAATGGCCGCCATTCGTTCTCAAATAGCGTAAGAAAATGGTATATCAAGGTTGTGGACCCTATAGAGGTCACAATTTTTATCCGATTTTGTTGAAACTTGAAATGTAAGTCTATAACCCAATGATCTCGGTTCCTTTCGATATTCGCGCATATCGGACCGTAACTTCCTGAATTATGGCCCCTGATTGTACGAAAAATCATGTTTTTAGCTTGTGGACCCATTAGAGGTCATAATTTTTATCCGATTTAAAAAACCGTATTATTATATTACCGTTCCACCCTAAGGACAGTTGAGTTTGAATTTTGTGAAAATCGCCCCAAAATTGACAGACAAAATGGCCGCCGTTCGTTCTCAAATAGCGTAAAAATATGGTATATCAAGGTTGTGGACCCTATAGAGATCAGAATTTTTATCCGATTTTGTTGAAACTTGAAATGTAGTTTTATATCACAAAGATCTCAGTTCCTTTCGATATATGCGCATATCGAATTGTAATTTCCTGAATTATGGCCCTTGATTGTAGGAAAAATCACTTTCTTGTTAGCTTGTTCTCTATCCATCTCTCGAAAATGTGGGCGTATCCTGCCTGGCAGCCGCTGGTTATTAATACCGGAAGTGACGTAGTTGGTTCGACACGCTCACTGGTCACTATAGTAAACATACAAATTTGGAGTAAGTTTAGCGCTGTATTTTGTGATCGTTTCGCCGTTTGGCAGAAAATCTGATGAAAGGTAATCTTTATTAGGATATTAAGAACAAGAACTTACGGTGTTTTGAAGGTATAATATACAACGTGTTTGTGTAAATTAAGTTTCTAAACTGGACACTGTGACACAATTTAAGCCACATGGCTAATTGTTTACATCACGTGATAGCTGGCACGTGACAGATATTAACCGAACACAAATTGGCGACCTATTCGGCTAGCGACCTATTCGACCGATCCAGCTGGCAACCTGTTCGTTGGCAACCTATTCAGAATAAATTCAACAATCGCCCAAACTCATCTATTTTTATCAACCAATAAAATCCAACGTAACGTCTATCAAATGAAAGTAGAATATATTATCATTTATCCATTCCTTTAGCTCAGAATAGAGATGTAATTTCGCATTATCTTAATAAATTCTGGACATCCAACTAAATATATTCCGAAAGCTGATTAAATAAGCTTTCAAAATATTATTAGTAAAAGTTGGCACAATCATATTAAAGGGGTGCGCTCTCATTCTGAATAGGTTGCCAACGAACAGGTTGCCAGCTGGATCGGTCGAATAGGTCGCCAATTTGTGTTCGGTTAATATCTGTCACGTGCCAGCTATCACGTGATGTAAACAATTAGCCATGTGGCTTAAATTGTGTCACAGTGTCCAGTTTAGAAACTTAATTTACACAAACACGTTGTATATTATACCTTCAAAACACCGTAAGTTCTTGTTCTTAATATCCTAATAAAGATTACCTTTCATCAGATTTTCTGCATAACGGCGAAACGATCACAAAATACAGCGCTAAACTTGCTCCAAATTTGTATGTTTACTATAGTGACCAGTGAGCGTGTCGAACCAACTACGTTACTTCTGGTATTAATAAAAATTAATTTCTCGCTTGCAAATTATTTTTTGCATATGTTATAGGAGGGATTATTTCTAAATATATATTTATTATTTATGGAAACCTTATTGAAAATCGTTGGTCTTCCCCTTTAATGTAACTTGGTTGCAATCTGTCAGAACTCCATGGTTAAAATGTGTAAGTCAACAGCTACAGCTAATAATTGGCTTGCAAATTAAAATATTGAATTGGATTGTTCGAATATTGTTTTTATTTTTCCCCCAGTAATGATCCATTCTTATAAACACGTAATCACTTATATCCCAACACTAAATTTATCTATGGGTGTAAAATGTTCAACAAAGACATATTGCCATCTTGCAACATAAATCAAAATCTAAATCAAAGAGTTTTAGAATACTCTTGTCTAATGTGTACTTTGTGAAACATAGCCCTGCTATTATAATTATTAAATTTGTCTCTTCAAATAAAAGGAGAAAGATTCAACAGTTCCATACCCAAGAAATACTGTTAAAAAATCTACGACTAGAAAAAAGATTGTCTCTTTAACTCTGAAGAAAAAATCAAAATTAACAGAAGAAGTTACAAAGAAATTGCAAGATTATGACAACTTGGGTAGTGGCAATGCTCTCCTTGAAGATCGTCCAATGTCTAATCTGGAAAAACTTCATTTTATCATTGGTCATGGTATTTTACGACCTGATCTTAGGTATGTTTAATTTCCCCCATTGAATTCTTTCATTGTTGACCATTGGCTCCCGACTTTGTCTTTTCTCTTTGGATGTATATAAGTCTTTCTATCCATACATGTTGGTTGCAGTCTAAATTTCGTTGGATCACTCTAACCATTTTGGCTACATAGATGTGTTGGGTGTCCTGCATAAAGCAGAATATGCTTACTCTTCCTGGAATTCTAATACCACTTGCCTGTAGGCTTATCCTTCAAAAAAAGTGATTTCCTGTGAAAGGTTCACCTAGCTGAAGGTTTTTTGGGGTTTTTTTTTTGATGGTGACACATGGTTTCATTTTGACACCTGGCACATTAACTTTTTTTATGTGAGCTGGCTTTGCCATATTAACTTTTATATTTTGCAATCTTCGAATCTTTCTTTGGTTTTGATGGACATTTAGTGCTGCACTGTCAATTACAAAATTCTACATGCAACGCTATTCTCATCAATAAGCTTTTTTATGATTATTTTATTTGTAGAGATGAGATTTATTGTCAGATCTGTAAACAGTTAACACAGAATACCAATAAAACATCACATGCTAGAGGCTGGATTTTACTCTGTTTATGTGTTGGATGTTTTCCTCCATCAGAAAAGGTATTTAATTTTAGTCTTGTTTCAGTATTTAAATCTTCTTGCGCACACCAAGAATTATTTTTCTTTAACAACCTAATTGCTTGTCAGTGAAAGTCTTTTTGGCAAGTATCGTGCATGGAAGCGATTCCTCATCAATCAACTTTTCGTCATCAATGATATATTGTACATGAGTATTCCCTATTCCCTGCACAGAAATCTTTGTTTTAGTGGTTTGCTTGTCCAATCCATCTTTACGATACTAAAAATCCATCAAAGGCTAAAACCAACACTCTGTTATGAAAAGTATGAATTTAGGAATAGGCATAGTAACCCCAAGGGTTTGCTCAGACTTTGAGAAAATAGCAAATGATAGATATGTACCTACAAACGTGTCTGTAATTTATCTTTTGTTTTTTTCCATTTTTGTAGTTGGTGAAATATTTACGTAATTTTATACTAGAGGGACCACCAGGTTATGCGCCATATTGTGAAGAGAGATTGAAAAGAACCTTTAAAAATGGTCCCAGAAATCAACCACCTAGTTGGTTAGAGTTACAGGTACTAATTAGATACAAGCAGTGAATACAAAATTTGGACTAAAATTAAAAAACTAATGTTATGTCCTATCAACTTATCTTGATTCTGAGCTACATCAGAAAGTAAAATTAGCTTGCATGCTTTAGATATTTAACTTTTGATCTGGGCAGTCCAAGTACTTTGTATAAAAATTCTTCTATATGTACATTTCTTCAAAATTAATTAATGTTTCTAAAACATGGTTGTTTGCTGTCGCCCCAAGTCCGTCTATCCGAATATCCGATCAGTTGTCAGGCCCTCCATCCTGCATCACTGACAAAAACAGCTATCTAGTCGTTCGGATGGGATAAAAAACCGAGGTCCCATGTACACATTGGCATGCACGTAAAAGATCCCTTGACCGTTGGAATTCGATATAAGAGTAGGGCGTAGTGTCGCTGTCCGGGTAAAATTTCCCTAATATGGCATATGCCCGTCTTCATTAGCCCAGTTCGGGGCAGAACAGTAGGACGTTAAATCCCATTTCATTTCATTTCTGATCAGTTGTCTTCCACAATTCCTTGTGAACACTATACAAGCTACATTTATCATTTATAAGTAAATATTACATATTTTTGATGTTTGAGATATTTGAACGATCTGGTTTGTTGTGCTTTTAACACTTTATTCCCATGTTTTTCTTTCAGGCAACTAAATCCAAGAAACCATTGATGTTGCCTATAACTTTTATGGATGGTAATACAAAGACCCTTCTGTCAGATAGTGCTACCACTGCCAGAGAACTTTGTTTACAATTATCAGAAAAAATCGAACTTAAAGATCAGTTTGGGTTTTCTTTATACATTGCCCTCTTTGATAAGGTTCGTTATTTTCTTGAATAATTAATTTTAATTTAATGAAATATGTAACACTGTGGGTCAACAGGACCCTTAATGATTTGGAGGGTCACTGGATTATTTTGTCCAGCAATGAGTTGTTTTTTCTCAAAAATTATAAAATGATAAGAAATATTTATCGATGAATATTGCCTAAATATTGTACTTTTACCATATTTTCTTAAAATCTCTGATCATCGTATGAGGGAATTTGAAACCCTTACAAACCGAAATCTTTTGATATGCTTCCTTTTGATCCAATTGAGATTATTTACTGTTTATATTTTGATTTTATTCTTTAATTAAATGGTTAATTATCAATGTGAGTACATTGTAGTGTGGAATAACGCGTTAAAATATAGATATTGTCTGAAAAATGACTTAAAAAATTAATTAGCTCAATGGGTCTATGTTAACTTTAAGATGGTCCATCAAATATTTTATCCAATTCATTCTGATATCAAAGAAAATTCTTACTTCTTACCGTAAAACTTCTATCTGAAAAATGTTTAATTTTGCTCATGTTATTAGTCGATAATTTAAGACTACCCATATAGACCACTAAGATAAACCAACATAGAAAAAATGGTTTCTTGAAGACTGGTAGGAAAATGGGTTTTAAACTGGTTTATTTGATCCACCTTTGCATTCATATGACAATAACGTATTCTGTTGTTTGTGCAGGTGTCGTCATTGGGAAGTGGAGGTGATCATGTGATGGATGCCATTTCTCAATGTGAACAATATGCCAAGGAACAAGGTGCACAAGAACGTAATGCCCCCTGGAGGCTGTTTTTCAGGAAAGAGATATTTGCACCATGGCATGATCCTAGTGAGGACAGTGTTGCTACTAATTTAATATATCAACAAGTTGTTCGAGGCATTAAATTCGGAGAATACAGGTGTGATAAGGTAATTGAAAAACATTATGTATAATTTTCAATTTTTAAACTCCCAAATATATTTTAGTGTAAAGATTCTTAGAAACCTATATTCTGGTCCAGTACAAATGTCTGTATCTCTGTGATACGTTTTTATACGCCCACATTTTCAATTAAACATATATTGTCGTTGCCTCTGTCCGTCCGTCTGTTCACATTTTGTTTGTGGACACTATACAGGTCACAATTTTTATCAGATTTTAACTAAACTTGAAATATAAGTGTATCTCCCAAAGATCTTGGTTCCGTTAGAAATTGGCGTGTATCGGACGGTAACTTCATGCATTATGACCCCTGATTGTACAACACTCTTGAGGTCACAATTTTGTTCTGATTTTGATGAAACTTTCAGTTTATATCACAAAAATCTTGGTTTCTGTCAATAATCATGCATATCGGAATGCAACTTACTGGATTATGGCCCCTGATTGTCTGAAAATCAAGTTTTTAGCTTGTGGTCCCCTTAGAAGTCACAATATTTATCTGATTTGAAAAAACGTTTAAATCTATCACCGTTAAATCATAATGATGATTGGATTGGTATTATGTGAAAATCAGACTTAAACTGCCAGACAAAATGGCCGCTCTATGTAATATGCACAAACAGTGTTAAAGTATGTAACATCAATATTTTGAACCCTCTTGAGGTCACAATTTGATCCGATTTTGATGAAACTTAAAACATGTGTTTAAACTGTTTATGTCCCAAAGATCTTGCTTCCATTCAATATTCACGCATATAGATTATGGCCCCTGACTGTATGAAATAATCGTGATTTTAGCTTCTGGGCCATCTATAGGTCACAATTTTTATCAGATTTTAAAAACCTATTATATATGTCATTGTTACATTTTGATAATGATTAAGGTCGAATTTCGTAAAAATTGGACCGTAACTGCCTAACAAATTGCCGTTCTTTGAACGCAAATAGTGTAAAAGTATGTGATTTTGATGAAACTTAGAATATATGTTTATGTCCCAAAGATCTTGGTTCCTTTCTATATTCACGAATATCGGATTGTATCTTCCTGGATTATGGCGGGGGGTTGGATGGCAGAATGGTTAGTGCATGCGCGTTGTATCATAAGGTCTATCCTTGAGTCATCTGGCGTCATTTCCATTTCATGGGTGTATGTGACAAAGAGTAGGGTTGCCTGTCCAACCTCGTGGATTTTCTCTGGTTTCCTCCCACTTATAAAGACCCCCATGCGCAAGCGAATTATTGAAATAAAATTGAACCATATATGTTAGTCCCAAAATGACCTAGTTTGTGTCAAGTGTACATTAAACCCCATCTCTCTCTCACTGTAGATTATGGCCCCTAATTGTACAAAAAAATCCAGATTTTAGCTTGTGGACCCACTAGAGGTCACAAAAAACGTTTAAATACAACAGTATTACAACCAAATGACGGTTGAGTTTGAATTTCATGAAAGTCAGACCCAAACTGTCAGACAAGATGACCACTCTAGAGGTCAGAATTTTTATTTGATTTTGATGAAACTTAAAAAAAAATGTTTATATCCCAGAGATTCCGATTCCTTTTAAAATTCGCGCATATCGGACCATAACTTCCTGGATTATATCCCCTGATTGTACGAAAAATCGCTTTTATTTTTAGCTTGTTTTCTGTCTATCTCTTGCAAAATGTGGGCGTATCTTGCATGGAAACCACTTGTTGAATAAAAATACAAACTTTCAGTTTTCTTATGTTGTGGCGATAATTCCATGTTGTGCTCAAGTGTCTTATAACCGTGCCTACATATTTGCTTATGTGATTGTTATTGTTACCCATTTAATCAAGCTTTCATTGTTGAGTTTATTCCTGCTCTACTGACTAGGCAGTTTGTGGGGGTAAGTGATGTGGCAGTCTGTTTACTTTATTAAAAATCAGGTCTGTTTTTCCCAAACTAACATTTCTAAATCTTTTTTTTTTTTGATTTTAGGATGAAGATTTGGCTATGATCGCAGCTCAGCAATATTTTGTGGAATATGGCAGCAACTTTTCTCCAGAACGTCTTCAATCTTTACTGAACTCTTACATTCCTGATTCCTATTTCAATAAACCCAATGCCTCTCAGATGTGGATGCAAGCCATATTGAATAAATTAAAAAGTCCTTATTTTTCAAATGAAAAAATCAAACAGAACAAGGTCAAAGAAGATATCGTTAGCTATGCAAAATATAAGTGGCCATTGTTGTTTTCACGATTTTACGAAGCCTATAAATTTGCGGGACCAAGTTTACCAAAGAATGATGTGATAATCGCTGTTAATTGGACAGGCGTTTATGTGGTGGATGATCAAGAACAAGTTCTTTTAGAGTTATCTTTCCCTGAGATCACTGCAGTTTCCAGTAGCAGGTTTGTATTGTACTATTTTAAGCTTGATTAAATTGTCAATTGCTTAGTCTTCAATTGTTAATGTTTACTTTTTGCTTTCTTATGTCTTTTAAAAGGAAGAACTTTTAAGAATGAAAACCGATTTGTTAGGAAAACATAATAAATCAATATCAATGAATGACTTAAATTTTGTACTGGCCATCTAGAGAAAATACAATATTTACTTTAGAACTGGTAAAATGCATGGGCAGAGCTTTACGTTGGCCACGGTGAAATTAGATGAGTACACATTTACGTCACCAAATGCAGAAGATATTCGAGATTTAGTTGTGACTTTTCTAGAAGGTTTGAAGAAGAGATCCAAGTTTGTTATAGCTATTCAAGATTATAGTCAAGGAGGTAGGTCTTGTCTAAATTTATTAATACCTTTTTCTGTTACCAGATATTTGAAAATCAATAATAGTAGAAGTGCAAAGGTTCTACACCACACATAAACTAACAGAAACCGCAAAGACAAACATGGTATTATTCTAGTGTAAACATAATAGGCAGGACAAATCTACACTGAATACAGGAAAGAAGCAGTTCTACTGGTGCACCCGGTCTTGACATTGGTTGCCTGCCAAATGACATCTCTTAATTGCTGTTAAAAAGTTTTTTGAAAAGAGCTAAAATGGTTATAATGAAAGTCTCTTAGCATCATTTGGGGGATTGTGAAAGTTTACACCCTGAAAGAAATATTAGTCCAAAAATGATTCAAATCCCAGTTAGTATTTACAAAGATATGAATAATTTGAAATTTCGCAACATTCAGCAGACAGTAAAAACTGGATATGGTCAAAATGGACTTAAACCAAAATGTTTTAAAATCCATGGTTGTTATAACCAATCTATTGTTGTTTTGACTAAAATTTATTTTTAATTAGGCTGTTTCGTCAATACGCCTGAAAGACAAGATGGCACCATCTTTTGATAGGCCTCTTTTTAATCAAATTAAATCCAAAATATTCCGAAAAATACAAATGACATAGAGAGGCTTTAATTGAAGTTCTGGACTCAAAATGAATACTGTATTTGTATTTACTACTTTCTATAATATGCTGTTGTTTTAAAGGTGAATTCCTGTCCATAAATAAAGGTGATTTAATTGTATTAAACCAACAAAATGGGGAATCTGTCATGATGAACCCAGGATGGTGTTTTGGTGAAAATGCAAGAAGTGGAAAGAGTGGTGATTTCCCTGCCGAATGTGTTTATGTTTTACCAACCATAACTAAACCACCGAATGAAATATTGGTAAGTAAAAACAGTTTTGAGACCAGTGGGATTATTTGATTTTTCAAACAAACATTTTCTGCTCTTCACCTTTTTTTTTCACTGTGAGTCTGTCACTAATTTTTTGAACAGGTTCAAGAAAAGTTTTGCTTGTAAGACAATTAATGGATTTTTAAAAAAAAAAAATACATCCCAATGAGAACTTCACATTTAATGAGAATATATTCTTTTATTTCAGAACTTGTTTATTCAGGCTTCTGATAATACTACTCGTATTCTATCTTCACCGTCTGTTGAATCTATACAACAACTGAATGGAGAAAAACCACACACACTTGAACAGTACTCCTACGATCATTTCAGGTGAGGAAACTATATTAGGTATGACATTTATAAACCCTATCATCAAGTCCTAGCTCAAGGGAATTTTCATGACCAACCGCTTAGCAGGAATTTTCATGACCAACCGCTTAACGGGAGTGACCATGTAATAAAATCTCAGCATTTGTTAGTACTGATATCTATACTGATGTCCAAAAGAAAGTATACACACTAAAAGTATGACTAAGTTTTGTTTAGATTAAAAACATTTGATAAAGCATTACTGAGTTTGTCTCTTGCATCCAAACTCAACATTTCTAAGCAAAATAAGAATGTGAAACAGATTGACATTCTACCCAAATACCGTGAAAAAACGACTGTGGTTGATGCAGCACAAAATGCTCAGTGTATACTTTCTTTTGGACATTAGTATAGTAAAATTTTATGCTTGGATGCATCTGGAAGAAACATCGATACTTGTATCAGTAAATTTGACCGTCGCTGAAACTCGCTATTGGAATAAAAAAATTTTTGACTATTATTTCTGATATAAATTCTGTAAAATGTCTGTATGTACCAACATTATTTAGGCTACTTCCTACCTTTGTTATGTATTCGATAATATTTATCCATTTTTGTGAAGAAAATCCATAGATTATTTTTAATTTATCAAAAAAGCACATGTCAAAAAACTTTAAGTTTTATTTCTATCCAGTTTGTTAAAACACAATGCGTAACATGACAGTCTTTCATCTGTGATCTTCCTTAAAAATTCAGACAACTGATTAAATGTATTAAAAGATGGTGAAATATTGTTTGTCTGCTGTGTGGTCCAACAGATGATAAAAATATTGCATGTGTGGCGTTGTAGCTATTTAAGATAGCCTCTTTTGTCACACAATTAATTTTTCTGCAGTGAACTTGTTAATTGAGCATAATACATTCTGCTTGTTATGACGTAATGCAGCTGCTATTGTCATTATATATTTTTATGTTAACATATTTAGACCTCTTGTTAATCGTGATATATTTTGTTGTGCTGTAATGCATTGTTTGTTGACCCTACTGTTGATCAATTATAATTCAAGACAGAAATTAGCAGAGAGTTTGGCAGTAATAGTGGGATTAGGTCTAATCAAACAAAACACTGCGAGGAGTATGGAAAAAAGCAACTTGCCGGTACTCTTTTCTTGTGCTTGAATAATATAGTTTTTGTAATTTAGGGCACCACCAAAGAGAACACTGAGTAAAACTCTTACAGCTCCGAAAAGGAAAGGATTGGGAGAATTGTGGAGATATTCAAAAGATCCTCTGAAACAACCCTTATTAAAGAAGTTAATAGGGAAAGATGAACCAAGTTCCGAAGCCTGCATGTGTTTCTTAGATATCCTTTATTTTTGGATGATCACTCATTCTTGGACACAATAACTGTGCTTCTAAGTGAGCTAGAATGTTTAAACTTGGTGTTTTGTTCATTAGGTGAATGCCTTGACTGAGTTTGGTGATGAGCAATATGATTTTTTTAATGCTTTGGGACATAGCACTGCTTCCAATTGAGTTAGAATGATGTAACTTGGTGTATGGTTTCATTAATCAATACCCTGACTAAGGTTGTAATAGCCATTTTCTGCTCAGCCAACTCAAAGGGACAAACAATATGATTGCTCGATGCTTTATAAAAAGATAAATGTGCACGTAATTAATGAGTTTCATCTATTAATTTTGGGATTAATATTGTTTGATATTTAAATTTGTTGGTTATTTACCTTAATGCTTTGTACCTATACTAAAATATATGGGAGATCATCCATCAAGAAGAACTGGTCGAATAGCCAATGAACTCACAGATCAAATATTTGAACCACCTCTAAGAATTGTAAGTGCTTATACAAATATCCAAACCATTATAAAATAAATGAAAACCCCAAGCCACCTAGTCTTGGAGCAAGTCCCTCAAAATTGAGATGCCCAATGTTTTGTTAAGCACAGATTAAAGGCACAACAAACCAGATCTCAAATGTAAAATATAAGAGAAAAAGTCATGCAATATGGCTTGTAAGATACGTAAAGATGGCAGTTTAAAATCAACAGAAACTGATGTATTCTTTAAATAATCATAACTTTAGTTGGAATTGATTGATTTGAATAACTTTTTGACCAGAATTGTTTTTTGATGTAAATGATTGTGATTATGCGGGGTCTGAAACTCTACTATGTCACCTTTATTGTCCCACGCCTTTCGAAGAAAGCAGGAGACTATTAAAATGGGTCTGTCTGTCTGTCACACTCTGTGGGACACGATTACTCTCCTTTTAATTGAGGGGGGTTGGATGGCTGAATGGTTAGCATGCGCGCTGTACCATAAAGTCTGTCATTGAGTCGACTGGCGTGGTTTCGAATCCCCGGTTGTATGTGACAAGGAGTAGGGTCGCCTGTCCAACCTTGTGGGTTTTCTCCGTGTCCTTGGGTTTTCTCCGGGTCCTCCGGTTTCCTCCCACTACTAAAGACCCCTACGCGCAAGCGAATTATTGAAATAAAATTAAACCATATGTTAGTCCCGAAATGACCTAGTTTGTGTCGAGTGGACATTAAACCCCATTTCTCTCTCTCTCCTTTTAATTGAGGTAGAATGTTCAAACATGGTATAGGTGTTTCTTAGGTGAATGCCTTGATGGGGTTTGAAGATGAGCTTTTTCTGTTTAGAGTAAGCAGATATAAGCAATTTGATTAGATGATGCTTTGGGACATGATAACTTTAGTTCCAATTAAGTGAGAGTGATGGAACTTGGTGTATAGTTTCATTACATCAATACCTTGACTAAGTTCGATAATGAGCATTTTATGCTCAGGGTAAGCGGAGCGATAAGCAATTTGATTGGTCGATACTTTGGTACACAATAACTATCCTTCAAATGGTTTAGGCTTTCATTAGGTGACTGCCTTGATGGAGTCCGTAGATAAGCAATATGATTGGTTGATGCTTTGGGATACGATAACTTTAGTTTTAATTAAGAGAGAGTCAATACTTTGACTAAGGTTGATAATGAACATTTCGGCTCAGGGTAAGCAGAGCAATAAGTAGTTTGATTGGTCGAGACCTTGTAGCTCGCTCGACAATTTTGATCCTAATTGTGGGGTGGGTGGGTTGGATGGCCAAATGGTTAGCATGTGCACATTGCATCATAAGGTCTATCATTGAGTCAACTGGCGTGATTTTGATTCTCTGGTTGCACGTGACAGAATGTAGGGTCACCTGTCCAACTTCGTGGGTTTTCTCTGGGTCCTCCAGTTTCCTCCCGTTAAAGCTAAGCAGAGCTAAGCATTTTCATTGATAGATGCTTTGGGACAGATAACTTTGATTCTAACTGATGGAGAGTGATGAAACTTTGTGTATAGTTTCACCACTAGGTACTTTAATTCCTTGACAAAGTTCGAACTTGAACATTTTTTGCTTAGACTAGTATAGACAATCAGTTTGATTTCTCAATACTTTTCAAAATATAAATGTGCAATTAATTAATATGTGTTATCTATTTATTTTGGGATAGCGGCGGAGGACATCAGCCTCACTGTTGGCTTTTTCTTGCATGTTGGAGCTTTAATACTGTTTTCATTTCACTTTTTTAGGAAATTTTAAGAGATGAAGTTTTTTGTCAGATTATGAAACAGTTAACTGACAACAAAAACAGGTAATTTCAATTTTATTACCTTCTTTGTTTAACAGTGGAGTAAAAATTTCCATAACAAAACCAGATTTTCATTTATTGAAAAACTGTACTAGAATTACCGGATGTCAAATATTAGCAACAACTCAAATTTTGTGAGAGGTGTCTAATCGTTAGTATGGAATAACAAACAGAAGTTCATGTACAGTTACAAACATATAAGTTGTATAGTAAAATGTTTCATTCAAATATATGCGTTTTACAAAGCACACAGACTTTATACACCTAAATCAAACAATTTGCTATACAAGTCTATTGAACAGATATATACAACCCATTTTAGACATAAAGTTTTCACTACTTACTGTTTTCAACTTTATTTGAAAAATAAAATTGAATGGTTTATATTTCAGAGTAAGTGAAGATAGAGGTTGGGAGTTAATGTGGTTAGCGACTGGTTGTTTTAATCCTAGTGCCAATTTATTAAAAGAATTATCAAAGTTTTTGAGCACGAGGCAGAACTCGATAGTAAATGATTGTATGATGCGGTTACAGAAATCTCTAAGGTTTGTAGTTTTATTATATTCAGGAATCAGTTTACAGGATTAACCATAGAGGTCGTAGGCCGAGGTGTTAAACTTATTAAGTATGAAGCGTGATATAAATGACTTGTAACATTGAGACCTGCTCAACATGCTCATTGTTATTGCACGGAAAACCCACCCCACTTCTCTGTATGATTTCTACTAGAAGTGGTGTAAACCAGCAAAAGTGTGGAATAACATTGATAATGTCTAGTTATTGCACGGTTAAGCTCCACTCAATCTACATGTACTAGAGGGATAGCATCCTAATAGTGCAGTGCATGAAACAGCTATGTTTTGTCTGTTTTTGTAAAGAACATCTATTAAAAGTAACTTTCTTTTTCTTCGGGAAAAAAATGAAAACAAAAGAACATTATGTTGCTCTTTTCAAAAGCCAATCGCCCAAATTTTAGTTAAGAAATTTAAAGAAAAATAACATTGATCATGAGAGGCTATATATGTATCCACATCACAAAGGACTTAACATCGGATTGGTTTGATAAAATGCTCTATGGTTAAGCTCATTCTCTAACTCAACATGTTGCATCAAAAGAATGTCCCATTTTGTTGCAAAAGATACGGTTTAATTTCTATGCATATTTTTGAGAATTGTTTTTATGTTTATTTATATAATTATTGTAGGAATGGTCCAAGAAAATATCCACCCCATCAAGTAGAAGTAGAGGCTATTCAACATAAAACAACACAAATATTACATAAAGTTTATTTCCCGGATGATAGTGATGAGGTAATGCACAATTTTATATTGGGGGCATTTTCGGGTTTGAATTCTTGTTAGATTTTTCAAGTCTGGTTACCATTTAGTGTGTGAGGGATGGTGCCTGCTGGGTGGAACAAAGTCGCAAAGAAAGCATGGCTTATAGTTTGGTTGGCGTGGAAAAACAGATTTACATGCGTTATTTAAATATGCATTATGCTAGAGCTAAATCTGCCTATTGCAGGTCTTTCTTTAGGCCTGATATGTTATCTAAATTATTAATTAGACATTAATTAACTTATCCAGACATATGTCATCGCTAGCCTGCGATATTTACTGGTTTAGGATCGATTAAATCATGAAATGGATAATCGAGACTATGCTTTTTATCGTACCGACTTTAGTAATGATGAATGAGACTAGGCCGAAAATTCAATCACTAAATTCTCGGTTCAGAGTGGATCAATTTGACTGAAATTTTCAGCAAATTCCCCTTTTAACTATTATAGTGAGAACTGCCAGCTCTATATCTAATCTCCCATAATGTATCTTTAAATTGGTAAAACGAAGAAACCTATTGAATTTCAGAAATTTCCGTTAATAAATTTTAGAGTTATAGCCCTTGTTTCACTTCATTGAACTTTGTGAATGCTCTACTGACTAAAGTTGTCATTCAATCTATATGAAATTTATATGCATTATTTAAATCAGTAAAATGAAGAATCCTATTGAATTTCAACAATTTTGGTTTCTTATACACCCACATTGAAATTTATACATGGTGTTTCAAGATCTTTAGATGAGAGAGAGAAATGGGGTTTAAGGTCCACTCGACACAAACTAGGTCTTTTCGGGACTAACATATGGTTCAATTTTTTTTTCCATAATTCGCTTATGGGTCTTTAGCAGTGGGTGGAAACCGAAGGACCCGGAGAAAACCCACGAGGTTGGACAGGCGACCCTACTCCTTGTCACGTACAACCGGGGAATTGAAAACCCTGGCAGTTGACTCAATGACAGACTTTATGATACAGCACGCACGTGCTATCCATTCACCCATCCAACCCCCCTGTCTTTAGATGAAGAAGCCTATTGATTTTCAAGGATTTCCAATTATTACTACCAGTTATGGCCCTTGATCACTTTGAAAAATCTTTTGGACACTCTAAAGGCTAAAGTTAATTTATACACCTTGTTTAAGGTCATGAGACGAAGATGGCTATTGTTTTTCAAGGATTTCTGATAATTACAGTTAGAGTTACATCCCTTGATTACTTATAAAGACCTTGTGGATGCTCTTACAGGCCAAAGTTATCATTCGATTAACTTTAAAATTATACACAGTTTAAACTGAGACGAACAAGTCTATTGATTTTAAATGATTTTTGATAACTTGAATAGCTAAATCCATGACATTAAATGTTTTGTATACTAAATGTTAGCAAATCTGAAATTAGATACAAATTAAAGTGGTCTCTGATTCATGTGTCCTCATGCAATAGCAGACGACGTCATGCCAAAACAGTTTACTAATATATCCAATTATATTTCAGGCTTTAACATTGCTTTGCCAAGAAAAGTGTAAATCCACTGTCTTTATTTTGTGAAGTAATCTGTATTAGTTCTTTATCAATTTGACAGTTCTATTATTTAATTTCAGGCTTTTGAGGTGGAGTCAAGTACGAGAGCAAAAGATTTCTGTCAGAATATTTCCACAAAACTTGGTTTAAGATCACCGGAAGGTTTTAGTTTATTTGTGAAAATAGCTGATAAAGGTGGGTTACATTTTGTTCCGTGTGTTATTCAAGAATTATTACATTATTTTCCAGTGTAGATGAAAAACCTTTTTAATAACCAATTTTTTTTGGGGTTCAGTGATCGGCGTTTTCTGCATAGTCTGATAATGAGCATTTACTTACTATACCGAAGTCCAAAAGAAAGTATACACACTAAAAATATGACTAAGTTTTGTTTAAATCAAAAAAATGTGATAAAACTACACTGAACACGTCTCGTGCGTCCAAACTCAATATTTCTAAGCAAATAAAAGGCAAACCAAATGAACATTGTACCCAAATACCACATACAATGGAAAAACGACTTTGTTTGAAACATTACGAAATGAACAGTGTATACTTTCTTTTGGACTTCAGTATAGATGCTTTATAAAATGATAATTGTGGAAGTAATTAATGAGTGTCATCTATTCATTTTAGGACTAATTGCTTGAAAACGTTGAGAGAATACTCTTCGAAACGTCGCCCAAATAAATCAGTAAATGTTCTTCCATAAGTATGTGTTATAGTTTATTGACTAATTAGTCCTGAGAAATGATGACTATAATTTCATGCGAGAGATTTTATTTCTATTTTTATCTCATCACTGCTGAAAACTACCTCCAATGTAGGAAATACTTCTATTTTCAGTTATCAGTGTCCCAGAAGGCGATTTCTTCTTTGACTTTGTGCGACATTTAACCGACTGGATTCGTAAAGCACGTCCAGCTCGTGAAGGTAAATTATTTTCGATGAATTTGTTTATCTGACATGCTTCTTATATATATGAACCCATTATGTATCAAATTAACCGTTACTGACTTCACACATTTGTCGTTACAAAAAGGCTATAGTATTAAGTACAGAGCAAGTTACATATCTTGCGAAGACATTCAAGTGTTAAATTAACATGCTTGCAAGTTTGGTAGAAAATTTAATTTGAGCTTGAAGTGTGAATTGTAAAAGGTTGTTAACATAAGCAGTATAATTTTGCCATTTTGTGATGTGAGGTTCCAAAATTGAAACATTAGTTTAAAGAAACATGTACCATGTGAAAGCATGTTCAATATTCAACAAAAATCCTCAGCACATGTAATTTTCGAAATGTGATAGTTTAGAACTTATGCATCCTTTAAAATATCACAAAATCTTAGTAAAGTACCTTGAAAATTAAATAAAGTGAGTTCAGTATACTACTTTGCTGCAAGTTTTGCTAGGACATCAGCATTTCTACTAACTCTTCTTTGAATTCCAACTGTTAAGGGTTCTCTTAATTGCATGTATGGTGACAAGTCCATGGGTGGGGCGTGGATTTTAATACCATCAAAATTACTAGACGTTTTTTCTTGGCTAGGCCCTCTTTTTTGCATCACTGAAAAGGGGATCCAGGCTTGAAAATTCTGAGGAATTTTTTCGACCCACATAGGGATGAAACCCAGGATCTCCTGGCCATCTGTCTTCATTAGCCCAGGTGGTGCAGAACAATAGAATGTTAAACTCCATTTCATTTGAGTTATTGTGCCAGCTCCATTTCACAAAGTGCATATAATCATTGCATACGCGTAAATCTATCAATTTCGTGAAAATGGGCCCTGAAATAGCTTCACTGTTGATTAAACTGATATATATATAATTGTATTTGAATTTTTCAGGTGCTACCCCCCAATTTACATATCAAGTATTCTTCATGAAGAAATTATGGACGAACACCGTCCCAGGAAAAGATGTCAATGCAGATGTTATTTTCCATTTTCATCAGGTAAGATTTGTCTAATTTTGAAAAGGACAAACTGTTTTGTTGAAAATAATGGCTTATTCATTAACTACAAAACACCTCTTTTTTCCCCCCCAAACACAAATGGTGAACTACATTAGTTTTCAGAAGCTAATGCATGAAATGAAGGTATTGTAACTTTGACCTGAACAGTATTTTTGAAATACCCACATTGAAATATTATCTTATATTGCTTTTTGTCGTCTTCATATCTTGTGTTAACTCTACAGACTACATTTATCTTTTCTTTTTTAAAACTTTATATATGTTTACATTGTGTAGAATCTGTTGTATTTTATAGCGTTAATAGCTATCCTCAGATTTGATTGAAGTCGATATGCATGGTTCAGATTAGTGAAAGGAATAATGATATCAAATTTCAACAGAGTAATTGCTCTTGCTCAATATGTAGGGATCCTGGTTTGAACGTTCCGGAATTGAATTCTCTTAATCCCCAAAATAGTGACAATTGAGTGAATGAGAAGTGGATTTTGAGCTACAACTCGTGTGCCAACTGCATGCAAAAAATAACCCAACCAACAGTGACAGCTGAAACATATTATGCGTTGTATTGAATTACATCACAATTCTACTCACACCACCTCCGTTGTCGGGACTGACAGAACTATGATAGAACTGAATGTTGCATCACTCAATTGCGATTCTGACAATTCTGGACTGACAATTAATATGCATTGTTCAAATCTTTACACTTTCTGTTAAATACATCTAGAGTTACAGTCCTTGCCCACTTTGTAGAATCTTGTGAAGCTGTAGTGACAAAAGTTATCATCTCATGATCTTGATGTTCAGAAGAAGCTTATCAATTTTCAACAATCTTCATTAATTATGGCTCTTGCTTATTTTATAGAATTTTGTGAAGGCTTTAATAACACATGTTATTGTCTAATTAATCTGATTTTAACACAGATCCTATTACGTTCTGTTTTTTATAGTTCAAAATTTCATTTTACTTTACTACAATAGGATCTGGAAGAGTTGTTATATAATCCGCGTTCAGGGTGATGTGAGAGATTAGCCAGTGAAATGGTCTGTTCGGCGAGTTTTTGGAATGATCGTGGCACATCAAAAAATTTGATCGCATAGAATTGAAGGGTGCCTTTTGATCATCTTCATAGTGTCAAGGTGTTACAACCTTATGTTTGATACCTTGACTACATTAGATAATTTTCTGAACATGAGTTGTGATAACAAAATCTGTTGTGATTATTTTTGTGTGCGTTTTTTTTTCAGGAAATGCCAAAATTATTACGAGGTTATCATAAATGCCCTCGTGAAGATGCTGCCCAATTAGCTTCGTTGATTTATCGAGTTAAATATGGAGATAATAAACAACAACTAGCAAACATTCCGTAAGTTTTATTTGAAACATTATTTGTATAAACTGAGGTGTCATGCATGAGTCAAGGTATACTTACTACTTCTAATTTATTTGTATTGATAAACATTGATTTTTATATTTTAACAAACTTACACGATTGTATTATGTTATTTCTTCAAATTACATATTTATTTCAGTCGTATTTTACGTGAATTATTACCAAATGATTTAATTAAAATACAATCTCCAGATGACTGGAAAAGGGTGAGTTATGTTTTTATTGAATTCAAATAAGCAGTTCCATTGAAACAGAAATTATGACAATTCAACAAGTTTTACTACCATTTGATTGGTCAGCTTATCAGTTGTTATCACACGCAATAACCAAAAAATTAAACCATAGTAGATTTTTATACGCCCACATTTTCATGTGGACGTATATTGTCGTCGCCCCTGTCAGTCCGGATGTCCGTCCATCATACACAATTTGTTTGTGGACACTCTACAGGTCACAATTTTTATTTGATTTTGACGAAACTTAAAATATAGGTCTATCTCCCAAAGATCTCAGTTCCTTTCGATATTGGCATATATCAGACCATAACATCATGGATTATGGTCCCTGATTATTCGAAAAATCACGTTTTTAGCTTGTGGACACTCTAGAGGTCACAATTGTCATCTGATTTTGATGAAACTTGAAATGCATGTTTATAACCCAAAGATCTTGGTTCCTGTCGATATTTGCGCATATCGGATCGTAACTTTCTGAATTATGGCCCCTGGTTGTACGAAAAATCATGTTTTTAGCTTGTGGTCCCTATAGAAGTCATAATTTTTACCCGATTTAAAAAAACGTATTATTATATCACCGTTACACCCTAGGGACGACTCAATTCGAATTAAAAAAAAGTTTGAATATACCACTGTTACACTGTAATGACACTTGAGTTTGAATTTCGTGAAAATTGGACCAAAACTGCCGGACAAAATGGCCGCCTCTCATACACAAATAGTGTAAATATATGGTATATAGAGGTTGTGGACCTTCTAGAAGTCAAAATGTCGATCTGATTTTGATGAAACTTGAAATATATCTTTATAACCCAAAGATCTTGGTTCCTGTCGATATTCGCGCATATTGGATCTTAACATCCTGAATTATGGCCCTTGATTTGTTCTCCATTCATCTCTTGCAAAATGTGGGCGTATCCTGTCTGGCAGCTGCTGGTTAAAAAATTATTTGGCATAGGTACCAGAGTGATTTAACTAAAGATTGCTGTAGAAAATTTGCCACATTAAATATTGAAACATGTCATCTCACAGAACTCAAATACACACCATTGCCAAAACATGGCATGTAAATTTCTGGTGACTAAAGTTATCATTTGATTGACTTCAAATTTATACACAGGAAGAACTAGAAGCCAATAAGATTTTAATCACTGTATGTTTGATTATAACTTCATGGGGTTTTGTACTTGATCAGTTTTTAGTGTCTAGTGAATGGTTCCATTACCTTGAAAAGAATAAATTTGTGACAAACTTTGTAAGACCAGGTACTTCAAGACCAGTTTTTAGTTAAATTTCAGTTTTTCACTAGGGCTTTTAAAGTTTTTTTACTCAATATTTCAGGTTATCATCAGCCATTTTAATAAAGATGCTGGTAAAACTGTACAAGATGCTAAAGTTGATTTCTTAAAGATTCTTTATAAATGGCCAACTTTTGGTTCAGCTTTCTTTGAAGTAAAGGTGAGTTAAAATAATGTTTACAAATTGTTAACATAAACAATTTTATGCGCCCACATTGGAACCCCCCTATCAATCAATTTTCCTGTAACATCACTTAAAGGAGCTGAACCTAAAATTCTTTGATTTTTTTTCAAAATAGAGTATTGAATTGGCTTTATCTGATGTGATGAGAAAAGCTCTATCTGATTTTATTTATTAAAGATGGATTATTTAAGATTTAAATAAAGAGCTGTTTTTTTCTTGTTGTAATAGTCAAAAATGGTAATGAAAAATTAATATATAAATTTCAGTTAGATTACTTTATTCTGAGCGAAGTTTTGAATGGTTGAAGTTTTGACAATATAGTTTTGATTGCAAAGTACCATTTCTAGGATAATAAACAGTCTTGATTATCCATTTTAATGTTAAATTATTATAATCCATTTAATATCACAGTCATCTGTTGGTCTAGAGAGTTGATTATGGGATTAAATGCCTAATTTAGCTCTTACATAATGCATCTTTAAATATGTCTAACCTAATCTTGTAATTTTACTTGTAGCAAACTACTGAAATCAATTATCCTGAGATTTTATTAATAGCAATAAATAAACATGGTGTTAACTTGATCCACCCACAGACAAAGGTAAAATAGTTTGTTGAATAATTTTGATGATAATGTAGAAACCTCTCTATTTAATCTCTATAAATGGAAGTGTACTCAGTCTGGACCCAGAACCGTTGATCGTCAATGAAATTCATCAAATGGGTTACAAAACCCTAGCTATAGTTGTTATGTAAATTTTATGATTGTTTCATATTTTGAAGGTAAAAAAAGCTATTTTTTATATTTTGGCATTTGATATGCATAATTAAACCTCCTTTCTTTTAAGGTATCCTATAAAATCTCTCCTTCATGGAAAAGTAAATATTTTATTCTTTTTTATTATTAGGACATATTAGCTACTCATCCATTCACAAAGATATCTAACTGGAGTAGTGGTAACACATATTTCCACATGACAATTGGAAACTTAGTCCGAGGCAGTAAACTTCTATGCGAAACATCTCTGGTAAGTTTTTATGTGCTAAAATGTGAATGTGGGCGCAGTTGTACCCAGTCATTAACATTGTCCAATCTGTTGTTTGAATGTCCTTCCAAATTCTATCAAAGAATGTAAAAGGATGTATTTATTGCACAGAAACTGGTTTTAGTTTCAAACTAAAAAGGATTCTGAACGAGTTTCCATAGTTTAAAAACCAAAATGGATGACAACTGAATATTGTTGATTAGAGTCACTGTTAAACCAGGGTAACTTAAACATGTTTTGGTCAGTTTCATAATCTGGTTTGAAACCATTCCCAAAAATTGAAAAATGTAAAATCGGTTTCAAATAGGTTGGATATGATTAATAGAAAGTTTGTCCAAACTATTTTCTTTCAGATAAATTCAAACTTGATTTTGTTTGAAAAATAACAAATTTAAGCAATTTGATTGTACTCAACTATTATTATTGAAATATTTTGTATTTGTTTTATTTTAGGGCTATAAGATGGATGATTTATTAACGTCATATATCAGTTTGATGTTAGTTAACATGAACAGACAGAAAAGACAGTAGATAAACCTGTAAATATTTTTTAGGATGGTTGTGAAAGGTAGCACGATCATCACTGCTATTGTATTATATTGTTAATAATCATTCACTGATACATATCATTATTAATTAATTAATGTCTTCCTTAATGAGGGAAATTACTAAGTTGCCTTCCCTGTAGCATGCTGAGTCCCCATACAGAAAGAGCAAGGGGTCTGTTACACCTGTGTCTTTTTTAAACGCATTTATATAATCATTTCAGAGCATTAAGGCATATTTACACATATTGAATGGTGCTGAAAACCACACAAGTCACGGGGTAGACAACTTGAGAATTTCCTTGATTAATATAATAAATGTTTACATATAGCTATGCTCAAACCTTGTTTATTTATTATTCAACCCATGTTAATTGTCAATTGTTAATTCAAATGTTGATTGAAATTAAAAAAAAAATAGTGAATCAATATGAACCCAAGAGAGGTACATTTTGATTATTATTGTAAAAACAGGGTTATTTGTTGATGGTTTTTGAAGCAATCTTTATTATGCAGTCGTCTTTATTCGTTGTTGTGGATTGTTCATTGAATTTGTTGTATAAATTAATTGTGCTTTTGTATATTTAAAGACTAATTGAATTCTTAGTTTTTATTTACTTTGCTGCCAAGACCTGATTACAGCAACCTTAAGAATAGAAATGTTTAGTTTTATTTTCAAACAACGCAGACTTGCTATGTACTTACAAAATTACTAATAAGTAGAACTATTTGTTTAAATGTATTTAATTATTTATATGATAATGATAAACTAAGATATTATATGTAACTATAAAATTTAGGAATTTTCTTTTCTTAGGAAAGTAATGCTGTTTGTGCTTTCCAAGGTTTGTAAAATTATAACTTCATAGCCATATCATAGGGCATATTCTCGAATTCCTTATTCATCAAAAAGACATTTTAGTCAAACAAAACCACTACCTGCATCTGCATTCCAAATCATTGTCTTCATATTTAGAATATAGAACCACATCATTTAGAATCTTGTCAATGGCTTGGTTGTAAAAAGAGGTATATATGTATTCAAGCTTTAAGACTGCATTATTTTGTACTATGGATTCCAGCTATATATCTGTTGTAAAATTTTCAAGGTTTTGTAAGTTTGCTGCATGAAGTTCGATAGACTAGATATTTGGTAAATATTATGGTAATTTCAGTAATAGAATATTTCTATGCAATTTTATTTGATAGTTAAGGCATTGACTATAATATGCATCCTCAGAGGATTCATTTTTTTACCAAGAACATTATTTAAATCAATTGATTTACACCACAACAAATGAATTCATTCCAAAATTCCACCTATTTATACAATCGCAAAAATCACCATGTTTTTATTTTTCTATAAAGTATATTTACTATTTGGTATATCTACCATTTATACTGTTTTGAAAATTGCACATTTCTAATCTTTATGCACATTTTCGTTAATACTGTACTTTTGAAGTAGATGGTCCAATCGGTTCTATAGTCTTATCAAATGTAACAGTTACCATACATGGATCAACTTCTAGGTGCCCTTGTCATCAATAATACCAGATATTTCATTACAATTGCAAGTGTGAATTCTGCCATGCAATCTTTGATGTTGTGTATTTTTCAAACAGAAGAGTCAAGAAAGTTTTTATAAGTTGATTCTAGTAACAAATGAAGGTTAATCCCAAACACTTACCATGAACACATAGTCTAGTACAGCATCATTAGATTTTCTGAAGTATGTTGAATTTAGTAAATGTAAATCTAATTTAATTTCTCTTTTGAAGTTTGCTCAAATTTTAGTTATTGAAAGTCTCAAGATAAGTCTACAAAGTAAATCTCATAATTTGTCTCAATAAAGGAGGCCTGTCGAAATAAATAATGCGATCTCTCAAATTATATTTTTAAGTATGGTAAATACAAATTATTTGGAATAAGCTAAACCATTTACTCCTTTTATGTATCAATTTGGTGTTTCCCCACTCATATTTTTCTAGTATTTTCATTCATATAGATATTTTTCTTTACAAGTTTTGGAGTGCTTTATTTTGTTAGTTTACCAAATTTCTATATAAAATCACCATTGGTGAGGTAATTTTATTACGGGGTTGTGTGTAGTGTTTCAAGTAGCTGAACCTCTTTGACTTCGGACAAAATGATTTAATGAATGGGGTTGATTTGCTGTGTTATTTCGTTTTTATTTTATGATTAAATTTTTATTTTGGAAAAACTGAGAGCAAGTCAACTTGATTTGTAGTATTAGCTTTAATTTGGCTTGGTATGTCTTTATAGATATAAAAATTTTTTACAATTCAACAAACATAAAATCGAGTGAAATGGAGAGTTTAATTTTTGACCCAAATCAAAGAAGTCTAGCCATTTTGATTTAGATTTATCATTTATCATTATTTTTATGTTAAGAGGAACTCCAGTCAATGACATTTGTAATATTTTATTCATCATTTGATATCGAATAGTTTTGAAAATGGACAACCGAAATACAAATCATTTAGACTTAAGTTATGGTAGCAAATTAAGAGGGTGGCTGTGGTCTCATGAGTAGAACTGTCAGCCACTGTTTGTAAACAAAAAGCTGCTATTCAGTTCAACCATTTATTCAAACAGCCATGTGTTTAGAGTACAAAGGGTAGATATTGTGGCTCAAGGTGCAGGGTTTTGTTTATAAACATGTGTTAATGTGCTAAATGATTTAAGTGTTGGGTTGTACATTTTTTAACTATTTAAATATTAGATATATATAATGAATAAAATATAACAAATGGCAAAGACTGGACTTCTTTATTAAATTATATATTATTTTGATTTGAATTTTTGTAGTAAATATGAAGTTCAGATAATTTGATAATAAAATCATACTGCAAAACTGAATATCTATTAAAGCTATTCAGATGAAGTACATTGTTTCAGAATATTTGCTGAGTTTAATGGTGTAACTAATCATTTACTATTATTAAAGATTTTTTCAATATACATATATATTTAAGATATACTTTTATATATTAAGAAGTAAAAAGATATTAGTAGAAACCATTAATTACAAATAAAACTAAAATTATTATTTCATGGGCGTCAATATAAATATATGTATAAAAATGTGGCCTAAAATGACTTTTATTATCTAGAATTCTAGCTAAAGTAGAACTTATGAAAAATATCATATAGAATAACAAATGAATATAAAGTAGTATTTATTCCTTTAATTGATAATATATATGTTAAGTTTGTTTCAAACACTTTGGTTTATGTAATATGTATTTTTAAAGGATATTAGTATACTTTGTACTGTCTACACTTCATGGATTACAAATTGCAATTCTTCACAAATCAGACAATCTTTATGTATTCATAATTTTATTTGTATTTACCTCCACTAGATCATACTGTACAGGCTGAAAAATATTGCACCCACAGCAAATATTAACTGATTGCATATAAAATCGACAAAATTTATGGGAACAGAATAGAAGTACAATTTTTGAAAATAAAGATCAGATTTGTAGTTTTGTGTAGAAGTGGAATTACAAATTAGTAACTTTCTGTTCCTCCATTTGATCATCCAAATAGTTTTTATATACAGTATATAATTTGCATTTAACCTTTATATTCTGTGTTTGCCATATGAATGTTCAATATTTATGTAAGTCTTTTTTTTTTTTGAAAATTTAAAATGTACTGTTAGTTCTAGGGCTTCTTTTTAAACTACATAATTTGTATTTAAAAAATAGTGTAAATACTTTTACAATCTAAACATAAATGAATGTATAGCATTATTATCATCATATTATACACAATATAGGTTTGTGGGGTGATTTCTCATATTGAAGATAACAAATTTATGTGCTATCCAGTCCAGACTTTAGCTTGGTATAAGGTGCAAACAATCCATATACAGTAGATTATACATAAAATCCACAGGGGAAAAAGGACTTCACCAGTGCTTTAAAGATTTTGATGATTTAAAAAAAAGTACAAATGCAACATTTTACATATTAGTGATTTTCTAGAATTTCTTGTTTACTTTAATTATATATATTTATAAATAAAGAACAATTATTTAATTCAAATATTTTTTTTTATTATTATTAATAACAATAATTTTGTCTACAATATATAAATATGTATATTTAACTGAAATTTTGTGTTTGAGTAAAATGCGTTTTGTCTTCTATTGCCTTCTAATTATATATTTTCATCAAAGGCAATAAACAATGTCCTAGACTATTATTTGATCTTTTTGTTGTTTCTATAAAAAAAAATATTGGTTAAAATTGTTTTCAGATTATTGAGGCATGAATTTGTTTATTGTTTTTGGGGATTTTAAACTATATTTCTGGGTAATTCTGCAAGATGCCTTTTGTTGCTTGTTGATTTTTCTTGTCCGACTCCTGGATTAAACATTGACATAATTTATAATTCTCCCGTCAAAAGGCAAAACCTAGTAACTCACTTTTTTCTTATTTTGAGAAAACAAAGAGAAACGTAATGAATGAATATTAAACCCCAGCTCATCCATTGATTTGACTATTGAGTTACTAGGGTTTACTGTGGTATACTAGGCAAATGAAGGAAGTTGCTAGATTGTGTCATGGGTGTAACTGCTTACAAAATCAAAAGATTGGAATATTTAGTACAACAGGAAGCACATACCCTAGTAACTACAAATTTGGTCCAAACTCAATTTTGATGATAAAAAAAGGGAGTTACTAGGTTTTGCCTTTTGACGGGAGAATTGTGGTCTGGTACCGTTCGATTGTAAATTAATAACAAAAAAATAGGGTTGTCTCCCTTTGGCTGAACCGACAAGGACTAAAATCTCGTGTTTTTCCGGTAAGGTGTTGTCTGAAATGTATTATTTTATCGGTTGGTCATGCCTACTATGTCATACATTGATTTATTCTCATGTAAAACAGTGAGGTATAAAGTGGCGAAAATCTCTACTATATATTATAAAGGATAACAGTAAACGACGTCTCTTCACTATATAGTATAGTTACTTTATGCATGACGCTTCACTTGACCTCATTATTATACCTTTATCTACCTGCCCGCGCGACGCTAGCTACTTATAATCCCCATGGTAGAAATGTAGGCAATTCGACCAGGCAATGAGAAGAGAGGTTTTATTGGGTCGTATTTGTATGATAGTGTATATATTTGACTTAACACGTTCTAAAGATCGACTAGAAGTGATGCGACACAGCAAAAATTGTACAATTGCATGAAGTTGATTGCAAAAAATAAAAATGTTCAAAATGTCACTTTATTGATTGTCCGATACAATTTTTTTTTTACCAATTTTACCAGTTCAATGCCGTTTAATTCTGACACTATATATTCAGTGATATCTTTATTCCATTTTGATCGAAGTTGGATTAACTTTCGGTAGGTCTACTATGTCCATCGTGGATACGATCCTATGAAAATATAAAGAAATATGCCCTTTTTAAAATAGGTTGATAGTAATAGGTTTACCTATCATCCAGTAGCCTATCGGTACATTTTTTTAAAAATCTTTTCTTTTTGGTTCACCCTGCACTAATTGTCACCATATAATATTCTTAAAGATAAAAGATAATTAAATATGCACACCCTCAAGATTATATATTCTTTTGACCTTTAATTGACATTTGTACTGAAATTTTCCAAAATTTGATATTTGTACACACAGTGACATATTGTATGAATACGTGTTCAGTTTGAAGGTGATCTTGTATATATTATAGTAAGATATTAATCTGACAAGTGAAAGACGAGGTGCAGGGTTTATTACATATATATATATATTATAGCCTGTGGGTAAATAGATAAATTACCCAAATCGTCTCTCACATGTCATTTAAACATAAGAGTGATAGGCTACTTTCACTGTGTTGTAGTCTATCTGAACTTCACCCATTAGCTCTAATAAATACATATTAAAGACAAGATGGTTTTACCGACAGCGGTGATTGGATTTCGAAGACGAATACACAAACATGATTCCAAACTCACGGGCATTCACAAATCGCCTGAATTATTACGAAGTCGACAACCAAAACATAGCAATCAATATAATTAAATAAGAGCAAATACGTAAAAGATTATAATACAAATACATTTGAGATACTTTGTAACCACTTCTTGAATTAAAATAACTTTATTACCCATTTATATATCTGTTTCTCATAAAGTTTTACCAACATGTTTATGATTACTTACGTATAAATTCGGAAAGATAATGATAATGCAATAAATGTAACTAGCCACCGATGAACTTTAAAGCGATAGTAGCAGTAGTCCCGGGGCCAGCGACAGGTTCACCCGGGCTCTGGTACAAACAACTCACAGATGGGGGAGGGGAAGAGGGGTTTGTCTTTTGAAATATACAATTATGGTCTCGATAGTGTCACTTTGGCGTTTATATTGCAGGGGTAACTGGTGATCACTTTGCTAAACCACATTGGTCGGAAAAGAGTCCGTAATAGGTGCAAATATCGAAAAACATTGAGATTTAGCACGTGCCTTGAGTAGTTAGAAATATCTGACCGCTCATTTACAAGCATATGCGTAAGGGACCAATATCTCGGTTGGGGGGGGGGGGCTGAGACTATAATTTGCCACAAATGTCACCCGAATTTTCAGAAAGAATCGATCATTAACTAAAACGAGTTATCCACAAAGTTCAAAACATAATCAGCGAGCGATTTTATTTTACAATAATATTTCTATGATATATGGTCTCATTCTCTGATGTTTGAGCCCGAAAAACGGACGGTTTACCGAATCTGGGGGCGGGGGCAATAGTTTTGTGGCTTCGGTTCTGCTGGCCAGCTTTAGTTGTCCGGTAGGGTCAGATATATCGACCGATTAGTTGGGCTAGTGGTTTAGTGTATGCTGTCGGTATGAACCTCTTGTGAATACAAATTAACAATGTTATCGGCAGGAAAGTAGGACTAAATCAGTATAATTTTATTTTTACACTTTCGATGTGTATCTTTAAATCTATTAAAGACTCAATACCACTCTTGTTGTAACTGAATAATATGTCCCAATCTTTATTCTGGTCAACAAATTGTACTATTTTACAATATTCCAATTAATTGATGATACAAATTTCATCTTGACACACCTAATTTAAAAAATTGGAAAAATTCAACTAAATGATTTGAAAAGCCTGATGTAAAGCTTTTCAAATGTGACTTGGATTTAAAAATATTTTTGAACAAGTAAAATAGGATTTAATGGATAATTTACACAACAGGTAGGACACTAACATATCTAGTACTTAGAAAAAGGCTATTTTTTATTTTCTGGAGCTGTCAAGTCAGCAAGGATGTTATTGTCCCTTTAACATCGTTAAGTTATAAATTATAGAGTCCTTGTTATTTGAAGAGAGATAAATTGAGTGAATGGCAGGTCTAATACTGGACATAAATGTGTTGACATGGATGATTAGGTTTCTGCTTTGGTTATTTTAAAGGAGCTAAATTTCTAACTCGGTATTTTTTTTTTTAAACAATATTTTTTATCAATATTGATGTTGTTACCTTGTATTTTCCGGCGTGGTTTCCCCTTGTCATTGATACAGGACGGAGGGTCTGACAAGGACAGCTGTGTCGTTCGGATGGGACGAAAAACCGAGGTCCCGTGTACATATTGGCGTGCACGTAAAAGATTCCTTGGCAGTTGGAATTCGATATAAGAGTAGGTCGTAGCGCCTCTGCCCGGGCAAAATTTCCCTCATAGCACACTGTATGGCGTATGCCCGTCTTCATTAGCCCAGTTTAGGAGCAGAACAGTAGGACGTTAAACCCCATTTCATTTCCTTGAAAATTATGGCAGTATATTAGACTCAAAATTCTAAAATGCTATCGTCTAATTTCTAACTTCTATTCATGTAATTTCTAACTTCTATTCATGTAATTTCTAAATTTAGACAATGTATAATCCAACTTCTTTTTTTGTTCAGTGTAAATTTTAATTGTTTCATCTTATTTCTATTATTAAGACGAAAATTGTCTACTTTGTTGTCGCTTTACATGTTAAGCATGAAAGTCAAACAAATTTAGAATTTGATACTTCTTCTTAGCAACCATCATCATTATGTCGCCACCGTGTGATCGGGCCAATTATGTTGATACCAAGGACTCGCTCTTCGTCTGGTTGAATGGTTTGGCGGAGTGTTGAAATTGAAAACAACATCGAACGGGACATGGTTTGCAAATTAAAATACTATTTCAAATATAAGCTAAACCGCAAATGTTGTTTAGCTTGTATTTGAAATAGTATTTGCCAACCATATCGTTCGATGTTGTTTTCAATCTCAGCATCGATTCCCCGGTTGTACCTGACAAGGAGTAGAGTGGCCTGTCCAGCCTCGTTGGTTTCTCCGGGTCTTCCTGTTTCCTCCCACTGCTAGACCCCTCCTCGCAAGCGAATTATTGAAATAAAATTGAACCATATGTTAGTAATGAAATGGCCTAGTTTGTGTCGAGTGGTCGTTGAACCACTATCTCTCTCTCTCTCTTCGCCTGGAAATGAAATGGAGTTTAACGTCCTAGTGTTCGGTTCCGAACTGGATTAATGAAGACGGACATACGCCATACAGTGTGCTATAATGAAAATTTTGCCAGGACAGCGGCACTACGGCCTACTCTTAAAATTATATCGAATTCCAACTGTCAAGGGATCTTTTACGTACACGCCAATATGTACACGGGACCTCGGTTTATCGTTCCATCCGATCGACTAGACAGTTATCCTTGTCAGGCCCTCCGTGCTGAAATTGAGAGAGAGAGAGGGGGGGGGGTCAACGCCCACTCGACACAAACTAGGCGTATGGTCGCCTGTCCAACCTCGTGGGTTTTCTCCGGGTCCTCCCACTGCTAAAGTCCCCTACGCGCAAGCGAAATAAAATAGAACCATGTGTTAGTCCCGAAATGACCTAGTTTGTGTCGAGTGGACGTTAAACCCCATTTCTCTCTCTCTCTCTCGCTGCCTTGCAGCATGGGCTATTTAAATGGATGTCTGTCCGTCACAAAGAAAGTTATTGTGTCCTAAAATGTGTGACAGGCAGACAGACATACGGATGGACACCAATTTTAATAAATCTAATCAAAGTGTGGCTAGACCTCTTGCGGCAGAGATCTGTTTTGAGCACTGAGATTTGAATTGAGTTAGCGCCTGTATATTTAAATCTTAAATATAAGTGTTAAATCCTGAGTTATAAGTGGCACCATGGCTAAACTTGACACTCACTCAATTTGAACAAAAGTTACCGCGTCCCTAAATATCAACCAATCAAATTGCTTATCTCTGCTTACCCGACGCACGAAATGCTCACATTCGAACTCCATCAAGGCATTCGCCTAATAAACACCTACACCATGTATGGACATTCTAGGTCAATTAGAGAGAGTTATTGTGTTCTAAAGTCTCGACCAATCAAATTGCTTATCGATCTGCTTACCCTGGGCAGAAAATGCTCTTTATCGAACTTAGTCTAGGTATTGATGTAATGAAACTATACACCAAATATCATCACTCTCACTTAATTAGAACTGAAGTTATCGTGTCCCATATATAGCATCAACCAATCAAATTGCTTATCTCTGCTTACCCTAAGCAGAAAATGCTCATCCTCGAACTCCATAAAGGCATTGACCTAATAAACACCTACACCAAGTTTGAACATTCTAGCTCAATTAGTAGAGTTATTGTGTCCCAAAAAGTATGACAGACGGACATACAGACGAACCCATTTTAATAGCTCCTGCTTTCTTCGAAAGGCGGGGGACGATACAAACATTGCAATGCACGGATTTTTTCTCTTTTTTTTCGTTTCACAGTCTCATGTAACAAATTTTGGTCTTCGAAGGATTATTAGTGAGCAGAAATTCGCCCGTGTATTCGTTATCACTCGTCACTTCAGTCAGTTATATTGAAGGATAACTCGTGTTTTCCATTCGTCACTTCCGTCTTTTAAAGCTTCATTATGCATCTATCATAGCAATGATCTCGTTAAAGTTATTTTTGGAAGTGTTGAACCAGTTGTATCAAATATGCGATAATGACTGACACTAATATTGTCCTTTAAGCCGCACCAATGTAATCCCCCTCAGTGACTGTATGGCTTGGCGAATAATCACTGTTGATCAGTCTGACAGACCGGAAAACTTTAGAACGTTCACATGTTTTAACAAAGTGAAACAAGGTCCACACCTCTAGAAGTAATTAACGTTATGTGTTAATATTCAACAGGATTATATATTTTTACTAATTAATGCATCAAAATAAATACAGATCAGACAATAACAGGCTTCTTCGTTTTACTAATTTAAATAATAAACCGATCAGGTAATAAATAGTCTAGAGTATTCACAAGAAATAGTGGACATGACGGCAATATACCACATTTCCAAGTGGGTGTATAAAAGCCTAAAAAGGACATTTCAGTCCTATTTTTTTTTTATCAAGCCTGGCATATACAGCCAACCTGGAACACATAGTTTAGGGACCTTCCCACCCCACAACAACTGTATCTGTCTCCCTCAACAGGTTTCAAAAGTGTTCTGAAAATAAAGCCCCATAGTCTATATCTCTCCATACCACAACACAGACAAGTTCAGTTCGAAATTAAAAACATTTTATTATAGGATGTAGAATTCTGTATATAAACAATTAATTTAATATAATTTGTACGCTACAAAGTTACCTTTGACATAGAAATTTAAACATATTCACATCTAATTATCTGGCAATATAACATGTAATCTTCACAAAAATACATCGCAGTGAATGACTATACATCTAATAACAATTATATCTCATATCTCTAGCGTGCAAAATGCATAGAATTCACATCACATGCCCCAATACAAATACATTCAGTCAAATTCCTTGCTTTTATATATGTAAACATACAAATGATTGTAAATGCAAATAATGTGAATTCTTTAACATTCATTTCAAATGAATAAATTTCATTCATTCAGATTGCTAATGATTTGAGATTTCAAGTCTTAAAACTAATATTCCTGGTGTGGTTCTGAATCAGATTTGTGAATTTAGAAACCAGGTCAGTGCCTTAACAATACCATCATACACACAAAGTGGAGAAGAGAGAGAGAAAAAATATATAAAGACAAAATATTCCTTAATTTCATTTAATTGCTTTTATTTGTTTACAAAAAATAAACTGATGTAGTTTGAAATTTTAGCGTATGTAATAAAAATAAAAAAACAATTTTTAATGATTTAAACCAAATAAACAAAGGTGTCAGTGGGGAATGGTCTATATGATTACAAATAATAATTAACACAAAAAAGAACAGTTAAAATCCCCACATAGCCTCAATGAAATTCTCTCGCTTATACTTCCATAATCATATAAAAACCATTAAAAAAAAAAAAAAATCATTCACTCTTATTCACACTTTCACAATCTTTCTGAAAATAATGCGACTCAATGGTGAAATTTCATAATAATCAGAACTTCATTTATGGGTGGTTATAAAATTGTTCTACGAAGTCAATGGATAAAAAAAGAAAAAAAAGGGAAAATTTTCATAGATTCTTCTCCAAAAGATGTGCTTTTTAATATACAACTTATCAATTTTAGATATAATTACAATTCAGTGAAACATTAAAATGTTGTGGCCTAAAGTTAACAGAACAATAATATGTCAAGTACATGGAACTTGATTTGAACTTAGAGTATTTTAGTTTGTTCCACAGTAAAAAAAAAAAAAAAAATAAAAAATAACCTAATAAGTGTTAATCTACAAGAATTTCAAAATGGACACTTCCTTCTTTCAAACTGCGATTATGTTTAATGTTTTTGGCCCAAGCTTTGCACTCAACCATCAAACCAAGATGTTTCTTTATTCCAACAAATTTGACAAAGATAACAGGTGCAAGGTAGCCTTTCTGATTCTGGAATGGGAAATACTGTAACCCTAATCCCTGAGTTGGATAAAAGACTGGGGTTCCAAGATTCTCACTGTCTCCAGGATTCTGGAAAATGAAAAACAAGATACAAATAAACAAATTAGACACGATAGAGAATAATTTGAATTTTATTCTAAAATTAATTGTTTAAAAAACAAAAACTGCATGTTTAAAAAATATATCAAATATTTAAAAAGATTTAGAGCTATTAAAAACACCCAGAAAAGTTGTGTAATATTTTTCAAAAATTTTTTCAGATTCCTACAAAGATTTCTATTCACTATTATGGTTTTCTAACAAGTCAAACTTGCGGGCAGGCTATTGCTACATTTTAGTTACCTCTTGGCAGAGTTTACTAATGGTATTGAATAGTCTATTGGATCACTCAATAAAATATTGGAAGTGAGTGCCATTAATGTCTTACTTGACACCTATAATGTATTGACAATCATTTTAAAAAAATAATGGCCTCTCCTTACATTTTCATAAAGCAAAGAAAAAAGACTAACCTCGCCTTCACATGAGATCCAAATTTGTGATTTTGTGAAATAATCAGCTTTAACATCTTCAGGCATATCCTCAGGTAAATCAGTGTATTTCTCAGGTATCCAGTTGAATATCTGAAAAACATAATCAACATAATCCAATATCTTCAAATCTAGGGTCAATAATTGACTTCTAGGCATTGTCTAAATTTGCCAATAAACTTTACAAACTATACTGCATTGAATATACATGTATACTGAGGTTTTTTTTCTCAGTTGTGTTAAGTGATATCATAATGACATGGCATGAAAATACTTGTGATCAATGGGACGATGAGCAAAAAAGGGGTAAAATAGAATTTAACATGCTGACAACTCGAGCACATCAACTTAAAGACTGTCTACAGTGATAGTCTAGGACAAATCTGATCACTGACGAAATTTTATCGGAAAAAAAATCACGCCATAATGTGTACAATAATACATCTAAAAAGTTCGTAAATCAATGAATATGCAGATCTATCTCTAATTTGAGTGAAATCAAAAACTATCACTGGCATACGAATATCTCCAAATTGCTAATGTTCCCTGAAAGCAAAGTGCTTACTTTATTCAGTTTCAACAAAACACAAGGTTCACCATCTGGAAATCCATAGCCATTACTTGAAGAACAGTTCTGTGTTAGAGCTTCTATGTCAACTCTACATGGTTTTGTTTCATCAGGTCTCAAATCTGTTGTGTTACATTCAACTACATTACTGTTATTTGTACTCTGCTGACTATATGCTGAAATATTTGAAGACAACATTTAATTAATCATTTGTAGTCAACTATGGCAACCTCAAAAATTATTTTTAATTCAAAAAAATAAAAATATAGACCAAAAGGGCTAAAAAATTAAAATCCCATGTGGTCAACCACTTGTTTGTGGTACTTCAGGACTAGGGTTATGATAGTGGGTAATGGTAATGAAATGTAATCATTACATTTTTGGAGTAATGGCCATGTAATGAGTAATGGAAGATTTCAAAAGTAATGATTCCAAAAAACATTTAATGGTCAATTACATTTTATATCACATATAAATATTGCCAATATAACAAGCCTCAAATTTTATAGCACCAAAGAAGTAAATTAAGTGTATCTGACATGTATCCAATTCATTATAATTTATAAAAAAAAAAGATTTAAATCAGTTTTAAAAAATTATGAGGTATTAAAACATTTTTTATTTAAGGCTTTTTTTTTTTTAGACATTTAACCTAAAAAGTGGATTTCTGAAATGATATATTTTGTTATCAAAGATTAGTGCTAATTTGTAGACAATCACTCAATCAGTTAGATTAAAAGACAACAGTCTTACAACTCTTCAATCTAAATCTCTTGAAAATTTGCCTTGATGTTATAATATATAGAAATAACAATTTATACACAAATATCTATTATAGTGAAACGAGGATTATTTTGTAGGGGCTTCATGGCAGAAAATTAAGGTTATCTTTTTAATTTCTATGAAAAATGTTTATTTATATAGTGATAAAGTAATGGTTAATTAATTACTTTCAATGTAATAGGGAATGGTAATTATTACATTGCTAAAAATGAGAAAGTAATTGTAATAATTAAAAAGTAATGGTAATGTAGTAATTAAATACATTGTCATTAGCACTGTAATGGCCGCAAACCCTGTGTAACTTGCAGAGTGACTTTCCAATGCAAGCTTCTGTACAAGAGCAAAACGAGTAGAAAAGAGATTACTCTTAAAAAGTTTTGCGACAAATATATTCTTAACAATAATTTGGATTACTTCAAAGAAAACAATCTTCACCGAAGAAATGATGTTATGATCAGCAATGATAAATTGAAACCTAGTCATATATGATTAATTTCTTTTGTCAGTTCATTACTGGTACCCAAAAATTAATTGATTTCTTATAAATCTGTACCAAGTAAACACATGTGGGTCTATATATCTGTTAAATATACCATGGGGTCCACAAGTGCAAAAAGGTTAAGAATTAAATGTATTGCGATAGTCTTAACAGCAATTCTGTTCATAAAATGGGCACTGCCGATGTGTTTTAATCAAAAATGACATGGATGAAATGCCTGCATAACTAATTCCTTAAATGCGACATGACATTAATGTAATAAAAAAACCTACTGGCAAGGTACTCGTCTAATTCTGTTGTAAAAACTTTGTAGGATTCAGCTTCTTTGTGTAAATATCGGATTAGGGTGGAATCAATATTTGGTTTTGGTTTATATCCCATTCCTGCAAGATAAGATTATAATTTAGAGAATATTCAAAAATCTTTTAACTTAAAGAAACATATGAAATATGTATGGCAGCAAATACTGAATAAAGCAATTCTAGGCCAACTTAGAACCGGCGCCCAACAAGTTTCGCACACATCGATGCATCTGTACTTTGATGCATATAGTGTCAGATAAAAGTTAAGTCAGTCAGGGAAATCATTAGATATTCATTCACACACCAAGCCCAACAATCTAGACCAGTGGTGGGCAAACTTTTTAGGTGAAGGGTCAAACAAAGTTTTGAAACAAAGTGAGGGACAAACAAGAATTATGAAATGTCATTTATTGAATAAAGTAATACCGAACAAAGCACTTTTTCTGTGTTTTTTTATTCAGCTCCATAGTTATAGTTAGAAGAAAAATTAAAGCATATCAACAAATCAAAACAATAAACTAAAATGAAAGCAGACGCAAGTAAAGTGACGTCAATTAGGCTACAATGCCATCGAATGACGCTTCAAGCTATAAAAAAAAGACCTACAAAGATTATTGATCCTACAGAGGGTAACGCCCATTTAGAGTGGACGGTGGATGACGGACGGACCAACAGATGTGATGGCAATATGTGTCCACATTTCTATGTGGACGTATAAAAATGGGTATCAATAGCCCTAACCCTACCCTAACAATAGATATCGGTGGACTAATGAACCCTAACCCAACCCTAATAATAGATATCGGTGGACTAATGAACCCACGGAATAGTGAGCATTCCCAGTCCCTAGGAGTCGCGACATGCGCCAAAATCAGCAGTTGCCCTCCTTAAGTTCCACGGCAATCCATTAAAAATTGTGGCCTGTAGGCAAAACACAAAGAAAAAATGCTCAGCCACAGGATCAGTAATGAACTACATTGAAACTAAATAACTATGACGCGCATAAATAAAACCCGGATTATCCAGACTAAATATATTTTCAAGTCGGCACTAATTATAATGCCACCCAATATTGCTTATGGTAGCAAAGGTAGCACACCTCATTATGTAGTACTAACCTGGATTGCCTTTAAGTAAACTGTCTGTTCCCATCAATTTTGGATAATGTTCATCAATGGTCTGATAAAATACCACCAGCATAGAGGAGAAGAAACCAGCTAAACAGGCATAGAAAATCAGATAGAAGAAACCAATCTCAGCTGAAAGATAAACCGAAAATATATTAAAGGTGGCGTCTACATGTATATGATAATGTGATTCTTATATTTTGGATTCAGAAACATTTTTGTATTTTTTGAGAGTGAGAGAAATGGGGTTTAACGTCCACTCGACACAAACTAGGTCATTTCGGGACTAACATATGGTTTAATTTTATTTCAATAATTCGCTTGCGCGTATGGGTCTTTAGCAGTGGGAGGAAACCGGAGGACCCGGAGAAAACCCACGAGGTTGGACAGGCGACCCTACTCCTTGTCACGTACAACCGGGGATTCGAAACCTGTATTTTTTTAAACCAAACAAGCACAAATAGATACATTGTTTAGATGGTTTCCAGTATGGAATACTATGTACTTATTTCATGATACTGTACTGAGTTAATTCGATCGATTCGATTTTTTTTATATAGATTGGATAGAGTCTGCTAAAAATATTCAAATATCACAGCACATACATTTACCCTAATTCAACATCTGCAATACTTCGGACTTATATAACATACAATTTATAATATTAGGCCTACTCATATCTCAGTCCATTTATCATGTTTGTGCAGAATTCTTAGGATTTAAAACTTATTCTTAAAATTAATTTTAATACTGTTCATATTTTTCGGGGGAAAAAAGCGGCTGGAAATTACTATATCAAGACGATTTGGTTGTTGAGAGAAATTGAAAGTCATTTCTACGACAAATATATTGCCCCTGAACTATGGGTCAGCAAAATGTATCTCGTTTGGCAAGTGCTGAAACAACGGCATCTTGCAGTGTTTATAGCTAAAGGTTTGTTATATTACATAAAACTATCAATAAAACTAGTAATAGACTGCACTTGTAGTTTAACAACATCAATGTCTTACACGGACGAGTGATTTTTCACGGTCACAAGTACAATCTAAATTTAAGTTTACTGAGGTGTGAAGGACATGGTTCATTACATGCAATTGAATTACATGTATATGTACTACTATCACCAGAAGCATGTACAATGATTCTCATTAATTATGATTGATGGATAAGACAATGTAGACAAGAATAAAAGTAGAGGGAGGGAAATCCACTGATTACAAAAATGTGATTGAAACTAATGAAACAATAAAAAGAACATTGATGTGAGACCTTGTGATCTAAAGTATCCCTGCCCCCACACAAATTCAAATCAATGTGGGTCTATACTATAGTCTAAATTTAAGTTTATAGCCATGTCAGAGAAGAAACATTTTTTGGGTTAACTTTATCCTATTAGTAATGACCTCACAATTGACCTACAACTGACATACATTCAAGAAGTTATGTAAAATTTCTACATTTCATTCAACAAGAACATAACATGGAAGCTTACAAATGTCTGTGATACAGCCTAGAAATATTAATATTAGATTTAGCTGACCAGAGTGTATCACACAATTGTAATACAATGTACATAATTGTTTATAGAAACCATGTTTAAGGTACACTAGAATGAACTAATTGGTGAATAACAGATTAATTCACAACTTTAATTATCTTATAAATAATAACTTATAACCTTATATCAAAGTCAAGAAAACAGATTGAGTCAACCAACAAATCCAGTGGACCTAACGCTTTATCTTTAATTTCAACTTGTGTGGGTAAATGATTAAATAAAATTGTAAGTACTAGAATGTTCAACCAGGGATGTAAAAATCCACTAACCCGGTGCCCAAATTACCAAAAATACCTTCTAGGTTAAAGACCTATTTAGCCGTACTAATTCGGGACTAGTGCCCTTTCACTGCTGATTTTTTTATAGTTTGTGAATTAAATTGGCGGCTAAAATGGCACTTGCACACAAGTTCTTGTTGCTTTCTACATCACAAACTAATACATGTATGTGCAGACTTTAGAATTTCCACCTACTACTCTTCCTCAATTATCCATTAATCCAGTTTTATTTTACATGCAGACTGATATTAAAGCTTATACCATGTCCAACAACGGACTAGTGGAAATTAATGCTGGGCAAGTCTCTGACAGTAGACTACTAGCCTTGGGCTAGTGGATCCATTTTTTTCCCACCCCTGTGTTCAACCTTACTATTTTTAAAAATAATTTGGTTATAATTATAATAAAGTTTAATTATTTATTAAAATGTACCATTCTGGTAGACTTAATAGTATTTTTAATTTAAGCTACGAAAGCAAAATTGGTAAAAACAATTGTGCTTAAACTTAATATTTCTTGTGGTGCCTTTTTTTTTTAAGTATAGCACAATTCGAATTTCACACAAGTGTTAAGGCCCTTGCTACACACTACACTTACTTGTCCTAAATGTCCTCTAACTGAAGTAGGTGACTGACCTATACTGGTGTTGCAATATGACACGAGAAGCCGTTTTACGACCTACGGCTAGAGATATTGCCTAACCTTTACCATGGGAATATCACAAAGTTGGACCCGGTACATTTTTTTTTATTCGTTCGGCCTATTGAGGTTAAAGATGAGGCTTAGATGTCATATTATCCAAGCTAGCCATTTGCGCATGTCGAAATGTCTGTTTTTCAGTGCAACTTGCAAGAGTATTTTTGGAAAATTTCCCCGATTCCCACACACCTTTTCATTTTCTGTCGTCTTCAAATAAAAAATGTTTTGTTCAAACAATTAGATCTAAAAAGTTTACAAAATACCACCTAAGATAAAAAAAATTCAAGTAAATATGAATATATTGCTTTGGGACAATCAAAATACTGCGAAACATGCAAATACACGATACTCCAGCGGCCATTCATCAACGAAGTTGGCGTCTTTCAATGCCCTCTAAATAACTCGCCTGCGACAGTATTGAAATCGGTTGTTTTCTGCAGTAAAATAATAAATCCAAATCTGAAAATTACAATGAAATCTTACCCCAACTCCTTGCATTTCGGCCTAAAAATTTCTTTTCATCCGAATTCCATAAGAAAGTCGTGAAACCGTCGACTTTCTGCTTGAAGGTTCTATCACGCCCGTCCATTTTGCTGGTCTTCTCGCGAGTAATGCGATTCAACCTTGAAGGGAGCCCGGATAATACTGACTTGCCAGTCGAAACCAACCGATAAAAACCTCAAATGTCACGTGACCGATCCGGTATTACACAATGAGGAGGATATTACAACATATTATTTTGTGACAACTGGGACGCTAATAATAGACCTAAGGAATAGGGATTTTTCTATGAAACTAACGACCGCCCGTGAACTTAATAAATTAAGACGAAATAAAGACATATTAGAGAAAACTTAATTGGTGTTTACGTTTTAGGCTATAACCTAAAGAAAATACTAAGGCCTACTCGGGTTGTTCGATAAAAAGTAGCCGAGACTAGAAACAAATCAAATTTAAAATTTATTTCGGTATAAAATAGTCTAATGAATAAATAGCTTATTTCTTGAATCGCATTTTAACAAATTTATCATATGCTTCGCAAATTACGTTAGACTTACCGAACCGTAACTAATGAACTAAACAAAAATATAACAAAGGAAGAAACCATAATGGAACCCTCGTTGTTATATATTTAATTAGCCGTCAGACAATTAAATGCCCAGGTCAGTAGTGTAGGCTACTATAATAGGAATCCCGAGCATAAGCGTCTTTGTAACTTCAAACAAATATCCCTAATTAAAATCCCCATTCCCCTATTTAATCTAGGATAGACTGATGTATTATTTTAGAAAATACAATGTCTGCGATACCTTTGCCGAAAGCTGGCGTTAACACCCAGCTAGACCTATATATAGTAGCAGTAATAATATGCTCTTAATTCTATTTATTGATTTTTCATTTCTTAAATTTCCAATCTTTTATTGAAAATGAGTCTACATTGACTCCCATTTGTCAGCTGGGTTGCGGTGGCCTGACAATAAGGGGCAACGTTTCGGATGGCACGAAAAACTGGGGTCTCGTGTACACATTGGCGTGCACGTAAAAGTACCCTTGACAGCTAGATCTATATAAATAAAATAAAAGATGTATGTGTGTGATTGTATGTATGTATGTTCGCCCATTACGCTTTGTCGACGCGCTTCCCCACCATTTCGTTCCATTTTCATATTTCATTGCGATATAACGAAGATGGTATGGTGTCCTCGCATGAGAAATGCAGCTTTCCTGGTCTTAATAGATACCCAAGTTGATTCGGCAAGTCGAGTAGCGCAAACTTCACCGCGGTCTTTCCTCTTGTAACATTTCGAAATTAATATTTAATTTCAAACCCCATTACGTCCCCTTTTGATATTTCATTGCGATATAACAAAGACGGTGTCCTCCCATAAGAAATGCAGCTATTGTGATTCGGGAAGTCGAATAGCGAAAACTTCACCACAGCCTTTCTTCTTGCAAGATTTCAAAATTATTATTCTTTAATTTCGAATCCCATTACGTCCCCTTTTGATATTTCATTGCGATATGACGAAGACGCTGTCCTTCTTCCCATTAGAAATGCAGCTTTCCTGGTCTTAATAAATAGTAAGTTGATTCGGGAAGTAGAGTAATTGGCGTGCCAAATTTTTCTAAAAGACTCCCCACCCCCAAAAGAAAGTAAACAAAATAACCCCCAAACACAGAAAGACATTTAAATTTACTTTGGGACTTACCTATGTACCTAACCCGTACGAAGCACTAAACTTTACGAAGTGGCGATAACTTAAAGTGAAAGAAAAAAGAGCATGGGGAGCGTTTTTATTAAATATTATTTTCAAATATATTATATTGTTCGCCGAGTGTTTGAAGCAAGAGGGATTTTATTTTTGTAAATAAACTTTCATTTACTTTGTCACTGCACTGCACTGCCTAAATCCGTCTCCCAGGACAGCTACCCGCCCCCCCCCCCCCACACACACACCTATTTCTGTCTCATGGTCACTGAATTTTATTTTTGAAGGTGACCATTTTTATCTTAACGTAAAGCGGTCATAAAATGTCGTGTAGTCAAGTCAGACAGGTCACACGCACAGCAATGCTTCATCTATGTTATAATATAATAGTGATCTATTGATAGATACTGTAATAAATGTCTTTCACTTTTGAACAATAGACCAAAATAAAAAGAGATCGCTTATCAATCATACGTCAGCAAGTAGTACGCATTGTTTCAATTCTCATTACCTCATATATTACGTATAGCATGAAAGTTATCCCGGGGCTCGTCAATTGTTTAAGTTCAATAGCTGTCCGTATTACATCAGACCCTGTGGCTATGCTTATCAGTGATGTATTAATATGTTTATTATGTACTATGTTAGTTTAACCCAAAATGCCCCCCACCCCCATTGTCGACTATTGTCAATTTTTTCGGATATGCCATTACTATGCAATAGAAAAGTTCATCGGGATTAATACTGTTTATCATTATTATCCTCATCAATTTAGCTGTCAATTTTCTACAAAGTTGCATTATCCCTATTTATATGACCTTCTTTAGGGTTCTCGACTTCTCGCTCGTAGTACTACACTTTGATTGTCTGTTGTTCAGTGGGGGTTTGTTTTTTGTTTTCGATTTTAAGGGATTGAAAATAAACATTTAAAGTACGACTGCAAAAGGACACCGACACGCGGAGGACAGATCATTTGGAAAATCAACATGTATGTAACTAGAATTTTACGAAAATTGTTTCGCTCGCCTCGACCCGACTGGTTGTTTATACATACGAATATAAAATGCACGTCAAGCTTCAAAGAAGTTAGGATATGCAGTTAACATACTACTGATATGCCAATATTATATAAAAATTATTTTTAAAAAAAAAACAAAAAAAAGTCAAAGGGTACAATATGACAAAATGTCGTTTATTATTTAAAAATGTAAAAAGTATTTAAATTTTGCCTGGGTCTGGTTTCTTTGTTTTCGTATGGGGTCACGGTGGCTCAGGCGGGTTCACTAACCTGTAGGTCCCGTGTTCGATTCATCAGGATTTTCCAGTGTGGTTCCCCCTTGTCAGTGGTGCAGGGCAGATGCTCTGGCAAGGGACAACGTATAGTCATTCAGATGGGACGAAATACCGAGGTCCCGTGTTGACACTGGCGTGCACGTAAAAGATCCCATAGCTGTTGGAATTCGATATAAATGTAGGCTGTAGTGCCACTGTCCGGGTAAAATTCCCTCATAGCACACTTTATGGCATATGCCCGTCTTCATTAGCCCAGTCTGAGCAAACATTAAATTTCATTTCTTATATTATGAGAGGTGCGGAGGGGTCTTTAGCAGTGGGAGGAAACCGGAGGACCCGGAGAAAACCCACGAGGTTGTACAGGCAACCCTACTCCTTGTCACGTATATAACTTCACACTGGATGTTAAGAAAAAAAAATTAGAATAAATAAATAAATAGATAAAGAAATATTAAAGAATAAAATAAGTAAAAATTACTTAACGAAATAGATTACATGAATTAGAACTTAAAGAAGCCCTAAATTAAAAGTGGCAGGCCTGTTCAAGTAGTCTATTTTTGGAAGAGTGTTTTATTCCTGAATCCACTGATTAGATAAATGATTACATGTTTAGTCTTGTTCTAGTGTCCCGTTAAACCCCCTAAGATTTACACAAAAGCACAGCAACAAAAGTAACTTTTCCGGAAGCCGTCACGAATTTTTTTTAATATTCCATTTTGAAGGCATCAATGTGTTCATTAATCTTGCCAAGTTTCAACTTGATACCTTAGATACTAAAGGAGATACACCCTCTGGAATGTCGAGCGAATTTCTGAATTTAAAAAAAAACGTAAATCAGAATTTTAAAAAATGAAAACCCGACGAAGATCCGTTGATAAATAACCGAAATATGGGTAATCTGAGATTATTTTTTGTCCCATCCGTAAAACACTTCCTGTATATATTTAATAAATAATAGATCCACGGAGGTCAACCAAATCTACGTTGGCAGAATGTTTGCACCATGTTTGCACCATGTATAGTTTTGGCTGCACACCCCACAAAAAAATAAAATAATAAAAACACTAACAGAAACAATACCGCAGCACTGTCTATGAAAAGATGACTGCTGACAGGTCCCGTAGAATCAGAACCCTAAAGAAGTTTTCTAAAGAAATCATATAGAGTTTTGATGGGAGGGGGTGTGTCCCATAGTATTCTACAGAATTGATTTGCTTTGGTTTTTTTGTGGGGGGGGGGGGGGTCGGTAGGAAAACAATATTGTATTCTATAGGTTTGTGTAGTGCCTCATGTAGGAAATTCAACTGCACGGCACAGTAATGTATAGCACGGAATATGTAGTATTCTATAGTTTTGTGTAGGAATTGGTACTATAGATTTCTATAGATTTCTATAGATTTTTTTATTAATGTACCGAAATGTATACTAAGCAGCAAAAGAAACTTCAGTTTGGTATGTTACTCTGAATAGCCCTATAAAATGCAGCCCCATACCTGGTTGAATCATTCACACTACAACGTCAGCAGCATGCCACGACTCACGACAGCTCAGAGGAACCAGGCGCTTGGAAGACTCGACTCTGGCCACACTGCCCAAGCCGTTTCCAATCACTTCCAGGTCAATGTTCGGACCATCTACAGGCTTTAGCAACGCTTTCCGGCCACCAACACCACGGATGATCGCCCCGAACTGGTAGACCAAGGGTTACCACAAGGCGACAAGACCGCCATGTTGTGCGACAGCACGCGCAGAATCCCTTCACACAGGCATCTGAGACAGCACGTCAGACAGTGGGAACACACGGAGGACCAATCACTACCGATACAGTGCGCCGACGTCTCACCAGAGAGAACATCCATTGCCATAGACCTTACCGTGGACCGATCCTCACCCTTCGCCATCGACGTGAATGTCTACACTTTGCCAGAACTGACGATACAGGCAATGGAGAACTGTTCTGTTCACAGATGAGAGTCGGTATTGCGTATCAACTGCAGATGGCAGGCCCAGAATATGGCGTTATTCTGGGCAATGTGTCATGGAACGAGACTCATTGGGGAGGCCCAAGCATAATGGTTTGGAGTGGAATCGGCCTGAACCAGGGAGTGGGTCCTGTGGTGTTCCAGAATCTTGGTCCAGGGAGAGGAGACGGCATCACAGCAGTGCGCTACATCGATCAAGCTCTCAGACGTGGGCCCAGGTCATACCACATTTTGCACGTCATCAAAACAAAGTTTACCAGCATGACAACGCCCGTGCCCACAACGCCAGAGTTACTCGGCACTTTCTACAGCAGAACGGCGCCAACGTTATGCACTGGTCAGCCCTTAGTCCGGACTTAAACCCGATTGAACATCTTTGGGATGAAATTCAGAGGAGACTTAATAACGTCGAACCGAGACCAAACACAGCCGATGGATTGCGCCAGTCTTTTCTGAGAGTGTGGATCCATCAATCGTCTGGTCCACTCCATGTACAGACGCTGCGCTGCTGTTATTGACACTCGCGGTGGACACGCTAGATACTGATGTATAGACTGTGTACAGACTCTAAACCTTCTCGTAATGTCTTGGAATTGCGATGAATTAATCACAACAAATTGCCTTGATCCATTTAGTAAGTCGTTTTCTAGAATGATTTGATTAAAGTGCCTGTGATTTTGAAATCGTACTGACGTTTTTTTGTGTTTTTTTTTTTGCTGTTTAGTATATTATGAATGAAATTGTGATACATGTTATCGCTCTAAGAAATTCCATTATGTCATCATTCTTTCCTCACTGTACACTGTATAGAGTATGCCCGTCTTTATTAGCCCAGTTAGAGCAGAACAGTAGGAAGTTAAACACAATTTCATTTCATTCAATTTTCCTACTTTTCTGTGCCAATCGGGCTATAGAAGATACAATGTATACGCTATGCAGAGTGCTATGACAAAAATTCAGCTGCGAAAGATTCGTTTATGTACACGTCATTTTGTCCCATCTACACAACCAGACACTACTTTGTCCAGCACTACCAACAGGAAGAAACAACGCTGCAAAATCCCGGGGAACTTTCTTGACCAACACCAGGATCAGTGTACATAATCATAGTATTACGCGGAATATGGCCGATATCCCGACACCACGACAACCTGACACCCCAACAACCCGACATCATGACACCACCAGGCCTGTAACTGGGGGGGGGGCAGGGGATGGGCGAAGCCCTGAGAACACTTTCCGCCTCCCTCGTTGCTCTGAGCCAGTTACGGTCCTGGACACCACAACCCGACATCACTACATTTCAACCCGACAATACATTTTTACGCGACATTACAACATTTTTAATGTCGTGGTGTCGGGTGAAAATGTCGTATTTTCGGGTTAAAATGTCGATATGTTTTACCAGGAAGCTCAATGTTACCCTATAGCCAGTATTTTGTGACATTTATTGTGGAGTGGGATTGTAGAATGCGCCATAGATTTGGATCCCCCCCCCATTTTCAGCTTCTAGATCCGCTACTGCCACCAATTCTATAGCGACACTATAGATCAACAAATTAATCTACAGAATGGCTTCTTTTTCCTCATTCTACAGAATCTATACTTTTCCTATAGGACCTTTTCTTGTATTGCAATTAATGCAGAAACTCGACACTTAACAGGTAATGTCGGGACTAACAGATCGTATATTGTTTTTCTTTCTTCAATAATTCGTTTGTGCACGGGAACTCGATCACTCTGCCTGTCCTAATATATAACTCCACACCAACTTCGAAGTAAAATTTCAGTCAGTGGGCGAATAATAGTAATACTTGTGAAATAAGGGAGACAGCTCCAATTAGTCTGTTTAGGGTTACTTGACCACATAAAATATGGTTTGGTCCGTCAATCATTATTTTCCCTTGGGGTTTGCTTGGTACAATTTGAGAAACTAGCTGAACAAATAAATTAATTTTTCAATAACCTACACCTATATTTGCATTCTAAAGACTGTGTGGTGTCATTGTAAAATGAGGTGAAGTGTTTAATATTTATATCCTAGCTTAAAGGTACATTAGTTAAGAGTTTTATAAAGAGTTGGCCATTCTTGCTATAATAATTCAAAAATAGATGATAAACAAAGAAAATGTTAAAAATTTTAGTCAATTTACTTTGTTCTGAACGGAATTGTCACTGCTGGGAGTTTGGACTAGAAATAGGTATCAATTGTGTCTGCACCGTCTATGATAGTTGGCGATCGTTTGATTGGCAGACGATAACTCCACCCACATATTCTCGATTGATTATCAAGTGACATGCTCAATGGCCATGATAGCTTCGCTTGGCGGGCCTTTCATCACCAGTTTCCGGTAGTGACATCAGCGACTGACGGTAAACGTTAGCTTGGTCCGCCATTTATAGATTTAATTTTAAATAGACGACTGTTTAAATCCAAACTGTATCCAACCCACCCGTGGGTCTACAGAGTTGATTTTGAGCTTGTCATGTATGTTGAATCTTTCTATTCGATTCGTTTGTTTGGAATATCTAATTTATCTACACTAAGTGATACCTCTGTTTGTAAGATAATAATGGTGCTGTATGGGCAGTTTCCAGAAGATGTACTTTTCCCAAGCTAACATACGTATTCATGTACACTGGATTCTTTTTTTTAAAAAAAAAATACAATTAATATAGAAATTTTATCAACTTTCAACATTTCACGAGGAAATGTAAGTAAACGTGTTTTTAAAAACTGGGTGATTGACCTTTTCCTCTCTTCTCTTTTGACAAGTCGTCTTGATGTACATGGTTAACAGCATGGCGCTACCAACGAGACCAAGTACAGTAGTGCCAAAATATACCAAATCATAGTTTCCCGTTGTGTCTTTTATAAAACCTGTAGAAAAAGGAATGGTACATGTATATGAAATTATATGGTCTAACAGTGGTGTGCAAATGTCGGGGGCTGCAGAGAGGACGACGGCGTCAACCATCCATTTCTGGGGGCATTCAATTAAAAACCGGAATTACATTAGAAATTTTAAATCAACACTGTTAACTTGTCTTATAATCTCACATTACTTGGACTAAGCATCACCCAACATCTACAATCCAGCCACTGAACCTTTTTCAACTTGTGGGTGAAGAATTAAACACATTTTGAAAAGCGGGGGTATTTAAGAATTACAAATATAAACGCATGGCTACCGAGCTGTCTTGAAACGTCATTGATAATTGTCAACTCTACCAATGCCGACCCAGTAGCTTCGAATAGGGAAACCAGGCAGACCATAGCTAAATTTCAGTAGCAACGATCTTTACTTTATAATTATATTTTGAATCTACTTAACCCATTTCTATCACACATGTAACATTGTTGGACCAAAGATTATGCAGATAATCATTTGCTCAAGTTTACTGTTTACCCCCACATTTCAGGCCAAGTAGGCCACTTTTCATTTTAGGAATTCATATAGTTTTATACTAACCTGCAATGGGGACTCCTATTAACCCGCCTATAGCACCAATCAAATTAGAATATCCCATTGCTGTCGGGTAATTCTTGGGTCCCGACACCTCTAAAATCATGGCCGGATAGGATATCATAGCCATACCCCAAAATGTCCCATAAACGATGGTAGTGGCTAGAAGATGAGGGTAACTGACAACAAAAGCGTACAGGCAAACGGCTGCAGACAGTATGGCTAAATAGACGGACCATTGGGCTACACGAGAGCATTTTAACACGGGAGTTAATGCTATTATGATCAGTCTGCCGCCGAGATTCGTAATACCATTAACAGACAATAGAAAAGACCCGGTTTCGACATCAAAACCCTTTCCTCTTACCATATCCACAAAGAAAACATTAACAGTGGGTAGAAGAGTATTCATCAGAAACACGCAAAACACTAGAACTAGGTACAAAGGCTCCCTGAACAGAGAGCAATTGAGCATTTCCTTCAAGTTCGTCCTCTGTCCAAGTTTTTTACTGAGACGGCGTTTAACAATGGCATTAAGATATCCTACTGGAAAACAGTTCAAAAATAAAGCACCATAGATAAGAACCACGCCCCTCCATCCATATATATCAATAAGTACACTTGTCATGTAAGGAAAGACAACTCCTCCTATACCAGGACAAAGACTTATTATTGTCAACATAGTAAAACGATGTTTATCATACATATCGCTCGCGGCAATAAAAGGTAGAATAAATGGTACTGTCAGTCCAACACCTGAAATATACATAAACATAGCAGAAAAGTTAAATCGTCACATACATGGATTCAGACCACCACTAATTTTCACAATAAATTCTCATATAACGTTTGTTCGTTCGGCTGGAAGTTTTCTTTGTCTGCCAGATGTTAGGAATATTTATCAAAACCTGACAGAAATCTAACCTCTCACCCATTTCCTTTACTAGTCTTGGACAACTTTGGTCACCCATGCTAGATGCAACAGTTAACAGTACGGGTGTTTAAACCTGCCTTTCTATTTATGTGTAGTTGTTCGGAAGGTCATTAAAACCGAGCCCCAGGCAGTTGGAATTTGATGAAGAATATGCGGAGACGCCATTGTCAGGGCAACACCACCCACCGACCCTTACACTGCGCATGTGACAAACGACAAACATTTGACGAAGCTTTTGTATTCCAGAGGCAAACCCCATTCCTATCCTTTCAATTCCTTTCTAGTACGTCGGAATTTTCCATAACAACCGAGAGTCACCTTATCATGTGATCTACCATCCTTTGGGTGTTTTTAATGACTGCAGCTATTGAGAGACAGTCATACGAAAAAAAACTAACTGCCCAGTCCTGCTCAATATTAATGATATATGAAAGGACAATTACAGCCTAGTTTCAAATATAGCAAATTTATTGTGTTGCCCATTATAAAAAAAAACCCCTGACGTACCCGCCATGACACCCATACTTAATACCAAAACTGGTATTGATGGAGCAAACGAGCTGATTATAAACCCAGCACTTCCAAATACGGCTCCAATCATACATAAACTTCCCCCATTAAATCTGTTCATTAATGGACCAACAACACCCCCTGAAAAAAAGAATTATTTTTCAATGGTGTGTGATCCACATTTATGTATTCGCTGTTGAGAAGATAAGAAAGAACTCACTGTGATGTAAACTGCTAAATGTAGGCCTACCTCTAAAATATCAGCTTTATCAAATCAACATACAAATAGTCCGGGAGCATCGCCACCCGCGAGGAGAATTTATGAGATCAAGTTTTTCTAGACCAGTTTACTATTAATTCATTATAGCAATATTCATCTCTAAAAAAGTGTATATAATGTCCCTGGGCAACTGTTATGTATTGTGAGAGGAGGAGGGGATGAAGGGTTTAATGCCTAAAATTAGCGATACATTTGATAATGTTGATCATTAGTATACTTTCCTCTGAATTACCGTTTTGCCTTTATATGTAAGTATTGCAGGCACAGTGCTTCCATTGCGAGGAGTCCTAAACACAAACTTGTTTTTTTTTATTACTTTACTTGGGAGGGATAGCTCACTGACAAATGACACAGCTCGCTCCATATTTGGAATTATCTTACTTACTGCAATGTACCCGGAAGGACGGGTTATGGTAATTCTTAAACAAAGCTTTAAGACAGGACACTACCTTATAAAACACTCTGTATAGATTGATCTGTCAAATTTTGATATCAGCTAAAATTGCCCAAAATAGTTAAAATTTGTTGATTTTTCATGTCGTGTCCAGCCTTTATATTATATAGTGTTAAATATTTAGTCATTTGTATAGGTAAATCAAATTTTTAACTTTTAACTTGCTTTTTTCCGTACTCAATTTTTCACCCATATCAGGTCTTAGAAAATCAAATTCTCAAAATCTATCAGAGATAATGGTCTCATCTTTGGAATACGATTAGTGCTATAGCTACTGTTTGCAATAAGGTGATTTTCAAAGTGCTTGTTATACATTTGGACATTTTATTGTACAAAATCCTTTTAGTGGTGTGTTCGGCCACACCCACTTGTTTTATGTGGGATGCATAATGTTCTTTATTAACATTCAAATAGTAAAATTTATGCCTTATTGCACTCTTTAATGCCTATATATGTTATTCCAAATCACAAATAGTTTGTTTCAATAAAATTGTTGAAGATTTTGATTTCCTATAATTTTATTGTGTGGTTGACAGGAAAATACGTACCTCCTCCAAAGACAATAGCTGCAAACACTGAAACGACAGGTGATGCTTCCGTTCTGGTGACCCGAAATCCATCTATGATACTAACAATCAACACACCTTGAGCGTACAGAACGCCAGTCACAAATATAGTCATAAGAAAATTACAGACACTTAAAGTAAGCTTCAGTTCTTTTCCTATTTTAGGTCCACTGCTGAAGCAACAAGATTATGATTTTGTTAAAATGACAATTCACTATGCCAGAAATGTTGACCTGTGACATAGTGATCGGTGTTCTGCACGAAACAGGGTAAACTTATCATTTTCGAATCGAATAGCCACTGATGTTGTCCACATTTGGAAAGTTCATTTACTATTGCTCAATCTGTCGTTGCTGTTGTTATTTTTAATTTTTTTTTTTTTTTGGGGGGGGGGGGTGTGTGGCGGGAGCGGTGATTATGGTCATACCTGTTATGAATTCAGGATGGGAGTCACGGTGACTTAGTGAGTGAGACACAGGCTCATTAATCTAGTATGTTCCTGGGGATTTTCCCGTTTGGTATCCCCGTGTCATTGGTGCAAAAACAGCGTCTGCAGGGTCTTTGGGATGTGTACACGTGTAGACGTTGACGTGCACGTAAAAGAACCACGTCAGCTGGAATTCGATGAATGAATAGTATGCGGAGACACCGCTGTTCGGGCAAAACTTCCCACATGTCTGTGTTCATTAGCCCGGTTTGTCCTGAAAAGTAAGACATAAATCCAATTTTCAGCTACAATATGCCCGATACTGCAATATTGTAACTAGAGGTTATTGTAAAGATTATTGGCAAAGATACTCACAGTCCAATTTCAATTTCTACGTCAATTTCTGATTCTTTGATAGACTTGATTGTTCTTGTAGTTGAACGCCTCTTTCGATATCTTTTATGTTTTTTGAAGACGTCCTCTGGTGACGGTTCTATTTCATTTTTCCGCCTTTTCATTTCTTCTCGCACATATTTTCCATTAACCGCAGAATCGGAAAGATATCCCAAATTATCATACCCTGCTTTGGTTATGCTGAATACAGTGTCATCTTTAAACGCCGTTGAATGAACATTTATTCCTGATTTAGTTGAAGGGTCATCTAACTCTATTACCTCGTCTTCATCTACATTTGGAATACTTGTTCCACCAGTATCTTGCATGTTCAACGGAGGCGTCTCTTTTGTGTATGACTCATTAGAACAATCAAAGGATAGATCGGTTTTGGCATTTTTACCTACAGTATTTGTGGCATAGGTGGGACTAGGTCCTACTTTACCGTCAGGATATAGAATATTTTTCAAATCTTCGGCGTGATTCGCATCACTACTGTATATAGCATTAATAGATACGCTTTCTTCCATACCAGTCTTTGCGAATTTAGCAATAGTGGAAGCAACATCAGATCCACAATTAGAAGATTGATCTGTAGATGAGAATTCATTTTCAGTTTTCCCACTATCTTTCGTTGTGTTGATTCCGGGAGCGACAGAGGAATTTTCTCTACGTTCTTTGTTATTTAATTTCAACTGAAGATGGCTATATTTTCTGGAATCTTCTGCACGCATACTCTTATGGTTGAAGCTGCTGTTGTAGTCATCAAGAACTTGAGTTCTGATAGTGTCATTGGTATTTGTAGCTTGTATCGTCATCGTATTAATATTACTTTTTTATAATCCCATGTAACGCATATCTTCCAAATTAATTCCGTTTAATTACTTAATGACTACAACTATTCAAATCCGCTGCCTTCTGCAATTCTGCAATGTTCTTTTCACCAACTAAGTTTATTAAAATATTTTAGTCTTACATCAGATGGTGACATAGCAATCCATGTGTAATCAGGCCGTTTGCCCATTTAAAAACTGTATACGTAAACATTCGTGATGTGCATATTTTATATTAATGTCGTTTCACATCTAATCTATACCAACACACCCATATATATATAGTGGCTTGTGTGTGGGGGAGAGGGAGAGAGAGAGAGAGTCTTGGGGCGTAGACCCAAGGAGTTGGCCCCAGAATGGGGTTTAACACCGCGTCGACACTTGTTTTGAGACTGTTATACGGCAATTGTCACGTAAATCTTACTCGGACAGTAGTGGCTCTTCTACGAATTCAGTGCCAAAGGATCATTTTGTGCTCTACATATTTATAAGTGGGACGTTGCTTTTTGTACCACCCCAGCGATTAAAACGCTTTTCTTGATAATGCCACAAGCGTTAGAGATTTATAGTGTTTCTTTTTTTTTTTAAAAAAAAGGTGGGTTAAAAAGTGAAGGCCTCGCCACTGTATGGCGGTCGAATCTTAATACGATTCATCTCAATGACCAATTATACTAAAGTTATTTTGAGACCAACTTGTTACGTGCACCCTCTGCGTGTAAACAAGTTTATCTTATCGCAGTCAAAAGAATAATGCATCCTAATGTTCAAAGTAGACCTGATAATCCTTACTCGAAAGTCATTGGTCCACAATTTGAATTACCATTGCCAAGTCTCTTTTGTGTAGGGGACCAGCGGGCAAAAGGGGCAGAGACAGCGGTCGTTAGAAGACATTTTACACCACCCTTTCATTGGAAGTTTTATCCTCTGAGATTTTCGGCTATTACTCATACTGCCACGACAGTTGATAGTACGAAGCACTGCCAGAATTGACTGTAATGTAATCATGTTGGTACCATTTGTTCGGTGAAATGGAATAGGTAGGAGATCAAACGGGTTTCTACAATAATATAATTATTTTAGTCACATCTAACCTCGGCAATAAACTGATGTAATTGTTGCCTCTAATTGTTCTAAATCAGATAAGACATGGCTAAATCTATTTTTTTCCCGACCAGTTTCGTCCGGTTTATGATGAATAATGCTATACAATATTCTATACAATGATGTAAGGGCTTTTCTATGAAACTATAAAAGGACATTCACCAGTACCTGTTATCATTTTCAATTTCCGGGACAAGTAAGCTACAGCTTATTTATGAACTGCTTTTAATTTCAGTTGGACCATAATCAGGGCTTGGAGTCGCGTTAGTATAGTCGGGTCACAGCCCACAGACCCGTAACCATTTCTCGGGGAACAAGGTTTGATGATGGTTTCTCATAGAAGGGACCCACGTGAAGATATTTGCAGTTTGCTACTTCTGAAAACTACGGACTAACCTCAGGAGAGCCGAAAATCCAAGATGGCAGCCAAAAATGGTCTGAAATTGACCTTGACAAACATTTTTAGTGAAATGACCTGTGTAATATATACTCTTCAAAAAAAAGTAGGGGATATTCAGAAAAAATACAAAACTGCGGAAATGCACTGCTGTTTTTATTAGAGGTAACCTGTGTATGTTAATAACAGGCAAATTGCCTACACATGAACATAAACAGTTCATATGGGCGGCTTATCTGACAGCTCCATTTCACTCGCAAAGAGATACAGTGTCAAAAGTGAAAATGGACGTTTTTGATTTTTGTCTTAATAATGAGTAATTGCTCCACCAATCCTCAGACATTCAGCAATTCGTCGTGGCACGCTCCTAATCAACCGTCCAATCACGATTTGGGGCAATCTGACCCACTCCTCTTGCAGTGCAACGGCCAATTCTTGCAGTGTTGTCGGTTGACGTTGACGTCGACGAACACGTCTCCCGATCATGTCCCAGACATGCTCTATAGGGGAAAGGTCAGGACTCATGGCTGGCCAAGGCATATGGACAATATTCTGACGCTAGAGGTAGCCATTCACGACACGAAGGCGGTGGGCACGGCCATTATCATCTTGAAAGATGAAACGTCGACCTGCACGTTGAGCTAAGGGAAGAACTATCGGTGCCAGGATGTGGTCACGGTAGTACACACCAGTGGCCCTTCCTGGAACAATATGCAAGACCGTTCTGCCATTCATGGTGATTCCTCCCCACACCATAACAGACCCACGCCCGAATCTGTCATGCTGTCTGACGTTAACGTTAGCATGACGCTCATTAACAAGCCTCCAAACGCGAGCTCGCCTATCGGTGAAATTCAGATGAAATCTGGACTCATCCGAGAACATTACACGCGCCCATCGACGATTACCCCAATTTCTACGCTGCCTACAACATTGACGCCTGTTTGTCATGGGCTGCATTTAGCCGATTTCTAATCGTTTGGGGTGTAACTCGAATTCCTGTAACTTGGTACAAGTTTACAGAAAGATGATTGGCCGTTTCTCCTCGATTTCGCAGGACCTGTGTACAAATGTATCGATCCTGGACTTGTGTAGTGGCCCTAGGATGACCTGAACGAGGTCTATCATCAACATTGTGTGTTTGGTGGTACCGGTTCCACAGTCTGCTGATCACAGACTCCAACACATTAAGCATGTTGGGTACTGCTCACTGTGTAGAACCCATTAGAAGCAAAGCAAAGATACGCCAAACAGCAAATCCTATGCAAGAACCGATAGGAAAGCAAACGTGGATAGGATAAACCAGCACGCGGCAGTTTTCATCAACCCTTCCTTGAAGTGTCAAATTTGACAATGAACCCCTCCCATGTGTATGGCGCTACTGCATGTTGCACGTGTAGCTCAGTGGTTCTGTTGTGGCGATAAGTTCTTCATCTGTGAAAATACTCTCAAAGCATCCCAAGTGTCCATGACTATCTATCATATCACAACCTGCATTGGTATTTGCATTTCAATATCCCCTACTTGTTTGAAGAGTATATATCATTTTATAGGTTTTGTTGGTCATCCGAATCGTTTGTACAGTTTCCAACTCATTTCAAAACGGTTGATCCAATATAGCCGCCAAAATCCAAAATGGCGACAGAAATTGACTCGAAAAGTATTCTGTCAATACCAAGAGCAACATACATGTGTGATATGTCGTTTCAGGGGGACGAGAAGCGGGAATATGTCATTTGCAAGCTGATAAAATTAATTTGAAAAGAAATAGCATACGAAAATTAAGCATTTTCGCACCGACCAACACGTATAATAATAACAACCATAAATTTTTCCAGGTATTCATGAATCTTATCCCATGCATATATTTCAGCTATCATAATACATTATGATGCAGTATATAATAATGTATTCCGCAGTATCACTCTCAAAACTCAGAAAACATGTGTAATGAATCTCAGTATTTTGAGTCATCTATCGGATTTGTGCTCTCAGATTGAGAAGTATTGTTATTTTGCGAGAAATTAACCGAGAAGTTGTTTCGAACACTCAGAAATAAAACATCGGGTGTGTATTAATATAGACAAACACTTCCTACTCACTACTTCCCAGTCATTCCAAAGAGGCGATGGTGGATTACGGAGTATGTAATGCAGCATAATGTCGGGTTGATAGTTAGCCCCTTTGACCTTTAGCCTTAGAATATCACGATCTTATGGCACACAATAGAAATCATATGCTTTCTTGTTACTGAATAGTGAAGTTTTCGAATTGGGACATTTAGAATAGAAGTTATATTACCAAATCTACGTCTTTTTCATAATGGCTGACTAGATATCCTAAGATGACAAGTTAAGAGCTAGTCTGAAAGCAGTTGAAGAATTTTGAGAAATAGTGGCATGCATGTTATTTAGCTTTCGGTTGTTGAGATTTAGTCTAATAAGATTGCTCGAACCATGGTTTTTGGTGCAAAAGCACCTTGATTGAGCAATTTGGTAGGTATGTTGATTGAGTAGTGCTTGTCCAGATCCGTTCATGTACTATGAATCCATTTTATGAGGAATCCAATCAAAGACTAAAATCAAAATTAAATTTGATGAAATTTGAAATTATCGCTGTTACCTTTGTGGTAAAAGGTTATTTCATCTGATTTTACATTATTTGGAAAGTTTCATTTCTCAAAATTCTCAGTAGTAGGCACTGTAATTGAGTATTGGATTGGCTGTCGGGACAAACGATGATCCCGCTATCATTAAACCCTTGCGCACTGCCGATATTGGCACCGAGAAGGGACATATTTAGACATTGTCGACTTCTTGATTTTCCTAAAACTCATGATGGACTTCAGCTAAATTCAGAACCTGTATAATCCTGGCTGTATGGTATGAATTTATTTGCAATCCATCATGACTTTTAGAAGTATCATCCGCTTCCCCTACCTCTAATTCCACGCCTCTGGTCCATTTCCTGTCCAGATGAAAAATCCTGGACAAGCATCCCTATATCAACATACCTGTTAAATATTGATTAAACCCATTAAAGGGTTTGGAGGAGTCGAAAATTTGCTCTGACAAGGTGTTGTTTCACCAAAACTATGGCACCGAGCAATTGCATTCGAGAAGTAACATTCATGCCAATAATAGTTATCAAAACTCTCCAATTACTTTCGGATAAACTCTTATCTTTATCATCTTAGAGTGATCCTTACCACATTTCAGAAAAAATCTATTCAATCATTCTGAAAAAAAAATGCAGATTTTGTATAAATTATCTTCTATTTTATTCTTAAATGTGTTGGGACTTCGGTGCTTGTGCCCTTTTAAAAGACTCTAAATGCCATAATTCCGATGCTCACACCATATTATTAGAAAACAACTATTCGGTGACTTGGACGGATAAAGCGTGTAGTATGTCAGATAGCAATATTTTTATGCAAACAGTCAAAAGAGCTAACTAACTATCAACCCGACATTTTTCTGCCTCTTTGGAATGGCTGGAAAGTAGTGAATAGGAAGTGTTTGTCTATATGATACACACGCAATGCTCTATGTCTTAAGTGTTTAAAGGGCCAATCTCGATTATATTTTGGATAATAAAACTGCATATACTTCAAGGCCCAGCAACTAACTCAATATACGTTATACGTTTTCAAACAACTTAAATCCGTCAGTCTTCATCTGGAAATGGAGACCGGTGTCCCAAGCTGCATTATACAGTGTCTTCATAATACTAGACTTTTATTTCATAAAAATAATATGTAGCTGAAATTTATTATATATTGCACTATAATGTATTATGATAGCTGAAATATATCAGGATAAGATTCATGGATGTCTGGAACAATTTTTGGTTGTTATTATTACACGCTTTGGTCGGTAGTCGCGAAAATGCTTAATTCTATCAGCTTGGAAATGATATAATCGTGTTTCCCGTCCCCAACAACGACATATTACACATGTATGTTGCTATTAGATCAATCGTTTGTGAATTGAGTTGAAAACTGTCCAAAATGAGTCGGATGACCAACAAAGCCTATAAAATGATATATTACACGTGTCATTTCGCCAACAATGTTTGTAAAGATCAATTTCAGACCATTTTTTGTCGCCATCTTGGATTTGCGGGTCCCCTGGAGTTAGCCCGTAGATTTCAGAGGTAGCAAACTACAAATATGTTCACTAAGGATCCCTTCTGTCAGAAACCATCGCCAAATCTTGTTCCCCGAGAAATGGTCACGGATCTGGGGGTGACCCGACTAGCAGTCATTTTTTGAAAAACACGTAATCTCCATATTTAAATTATATAGAAATTTTGTGACATACACAAACATTTTTCAAAAATTTTATGTGTAGTTAAAATGGTTTAGTGGGGATCATTCAGCTGGTGGGTTTAGCATTTTCTACGTGACTTCTGTTCCTGAAATCCAACTTTACTCCCTCTTGTTATTAATATGGATGGGTGCCGTGTTAGAGGCGGGGTATGCTTATGCGTAACATAGCTATGAATCTATGTTGTGTCTGTATTTGTTCAGAAGAATTTACAGCAGGTTAATCTTTTAAATTAAATTAAAGCAAAAAGTATTTGTGTTTTACATACAATAGGGATATAACTACATGTATACTACTAGTCATAAGCCAGTTAACATATACTAAGTATAAATAAATATTAGTTATCGGCCTCTTTTCACAGCACTGTAACGTAACGTCGAAAATCAACATAGCTTTTGGAAAGTACCACTAATACATGATTTTTAAAATGAGTATAATGCTTTGCCTCGAGCACGGCAATGCGATTACGGTTCAGATACACATGTAATTAATATATATTTCTTCAGATAATAAACCGTTGACAATATTTGAATTGGGATATTTCACATAGTCACATTATTGCACAGTGTCGTTCACCCAATTCTGTTCATTTTGCACACAGTTTTGAGGGCTCGCATATTTTTCCCCAGATTCATCAATGTTTTGTGGAATCAGAATCATTTAAAGCAAAAACAATATGATGTCATCTCAAGAATTTGGTTGAACCTGAACTCATCGATTAAACGACCATTGAGAAGTAAAAAATCGTTTCAAATCAACAATGATGCCGAATGGTGTCGCCAATGCTACAGCTGACGTTTATACAGCTTCTAACGCCAAGACAAATAAATCCACAATAAATCAATGTACTATGGAATGCCAAACTCTCAAAAATAACGTAGACTACGCAAAAGGAATCGAGGAACTTGTTTTTGTGTCACATGGGCATTCAGTGGACAACACGACTAGTATTAATGCTAGCCATGAAAAACCTTTATCCGAAGGACAAGATAACTTGGGTTATATCGATGATACTTCAAATGGTGATATTTCACAAAGTACTGAAAGGTATGGATCCAATTCCGTAATCTTGTCAGAGGAAGCTCAAGTGAATATAGAAGTCGGAACGTAAGTATACATTTATAGTATCATATTATTTCTGTAAAGATAGATATGACCAAACGGTTACTAAAATGTCTATCGAAAGGCAAGTGACGCATTCCGATGAGGTTTTGGTGATCTGTGGAGAAGGGGGTGGCTAATCCACACAACATTTTCACCCATTCCACACGACAAATTTTATGTACCCCTTTTCATCCACCCACCGCAACATCCATTCACAATAATAAATAAAATACTGGAACCGCGCATAAATATATAGTAATTAGTGCGATATCCGAAGTCGTGCTGTCGTTTTCTGCAGAAACACCTGACCCCGCTTCTGCTATTTTTTGGAAGGTTCACATTTAGCAATTTTGGTTTTATTTGTGTAATTGATGTTCATGTTGAAGTACTAGTATCACTAACGAAAAATATATTTATTTAATTCAGTAGTAAAGTACCGGATATTGGAAGGGGTTTGACGGTCATAGTAACAATCTGCAACTGTATACTAATCGCTATGGCTACTGGTTATGTATTTGCATTAGGAGTCCTGTTGGTTGGCATTATAGATGAATTCCAAGCCACTAGAACAGAAGCTTCGCCTATTTTATCGGTTTTTGGTGCAATTATTTTTGGAGGAGGTAGGTATTTAAGTTTTAACAAAACTTTCTAAAACACACCTGTCACATCTCCTGGTAGGAGTTAGTGAAGACGGGAAACAGATTAGGGTTGCTTTTGTTACGGGTAACAGTAAAATATGAATTTTGGTTCTGAATCCTAATAATCCAGTGTCGATAGTTTAACCGATTGTTTATTGTTTTATTCTTTGCCTTACAGGAGGTGTGATTGGACCTTTGATGAACAGATTTAATGGAGGGACCTTATGTGTTATCGGTTCTGTATTAGCATCTATTGGTTTAATCATCACTTTTTTCGCACCCTCACTATATGTTCTCGTATTTAGCATCGGCGTAATGGCAGGTAACTATTAAAAGCCCATTACATTACTTCTTAATGCACCTAGAAATCTCTTATGTGGAATATAGCAAAAGACATAATGAAATGAAATGAGGTTTAACGTCCGACTAATGAAGACGGGCATACGCCATACATTGTGCTATGAGGGAAATTTTGCCCGGACAGCGGCACTACTCTTATATCGAATTCCAACTGCCAAGGGATCTTTTACGTGCACGTCAATGTATACACGGATCCTCGGTTTTCCGTCCCATCCGAAAGCCTAGACAGCTGTCTTTGTCAGGCCCAGTTCTGCACCACTGACAAGGGAAAACCACTTCGGAAAATCCCGATGAACTTTCTCGGTCATTGCAGGGATCGAACACGCGACCTCCGAGCCAGCGTCCAACCCACTTAGCCACGATGGCTCCGTAAGATGTTAAAATGCACACCTTTTTACTTTGGATTTTTCATACGATATTCAAGTGTAAACAGCCTTAATCATTAATTATAATCATGGTTTTATGTGACAGTCATAATATACTTTCGATCAGTAACAGAAACATCATAACATTCTTGGGTGGTTTGGTTAATCGTTGGAGCCAGCCACGACCAGAATATAATAATAATGACGAGCACATTGTGCAGTGACGATTCTTTTTAGTTTATACCCGGACACAACACATACGTGTGTGACATACATCATGTATAAGTTAGATTTTGTGTATTTGTAGGCGCGGGGCTAGCTGTTCCATTGATTCTAGCATTCACAACAACAGGGGATCTATATGATAAACATAAGGACACTATGGTAACCGTTGTCAGCATCTGTCCAGCTGTAGGAGCTCTAATCTTCCCCTATATGACCTCCAAGCTTGTAGATATATACGACTGGAGGGGCGTGATGCTTATTTACGGGGCTTTGGTACTAAACTTTGTTCCTATCGGATATATCAATGCTATTGTTAAACGCAGAATGAACGGAACACTTGGGCCGAGTGTAAAGACGAATTGGAAGGACATACTGGATTGCACTATTTTCAAAAATCCTCTGTACCTTGTTATTGTATACTGTGTGCTCTTTGTTAATACCCTCTTGCCAATTTTGAATCTTTTCTTTGTTGATATGATGAGGGGGAAGGGTTTTGATGTAGATACCGGGTCCTTTATGTTGTCTGTTAACGGTTTTGCCAATATGGCAGGGCGAATACTTATAACGTTTCTAACACCCTTTTTAAAATGCGCACGAGTGGGTCAATGGTGCGTGTACTTGGCCCTGGTGGGATTGCTTTTATGCCTGTATGTCTTTGTTTCTACCCATACACAATTATTAGTCGTTAGTATCATGTATGGTTTATTCTGGGGGATGGCCATAGTTTCGTATCCCGCCATGTTATTAGAGCTGTCAGGACCAAAGAGATACACAACGGCCATGGGATATTGTAATCTGATTGGCGGGGCGGGTGGACTGATAGGCGGTCCAGTTGCAGGTTAGTGTAACTAAATTAATTTTAATCGTAACGCCAATTATCCTACTCAGTCACAAAATTTCTAGCTTTCTTAGAAACGCAATTCCGCTGCAAGGTCCTCAATACTATAACAAACAATACACTTTTGGAAATCTTATAACACCAAGAACACAAATTCAGAGAGTTCCAAGCAAAATGTTTGCAATAACTCGATTTAGGGTCAGATGAAAATTGTGATAATTGTCAAGTAAATGCAATATTAAATATTAATTGTGAAGTTGAAATAAAATTAAATATTGGCGAAATACATTTTCCTTGGAACTCTCTGGATTTGTGTTCGTAAAGTGTTATAAGCTTTCCAAAAATGTATAGATTGTTTAGTAGGGAGCTCCTTGTAGCAACACTTCACGCTAGATATTTTGGCTGCAGGCCTAATACATTCCTTTGACGCAATGCGTGAAGGTGCTATGTTCTCTCAGCGTAATTAGATGATCTGCTCTATCATCTGATTTGTATCTGAAAATATTTTTCTAATCACTAGCAAAATCAATACTTTTGTTGTGTAGTATGGAATTATTTTTTCAGCATAATCTTCTTATGATTAGAAGTAAAGCTTATTTATCACGTCTCCAAATCTGTCTACCGCATTCTCTCAATTACCGGATAGAATCAGCACATGAATCTGTATAATGATGAACCTTGAAACACTGCATGGTCCGACATATTACACGTACCGAGCAAACGAAGCGCGATTCGTCTTTCTTACCGCTAATATATCTTTATTGTTTTGTTTATATATATATATATATATATATATATATTTCAGGTCTCATAAAAGATATAACGGGAAATTATGATTTGTTATTTTTTGGGGGAGCATGTGTTGCTGGAGCAGGTAGTTTCATGCTGGGTTTTATGTATATAAAGATACATTGCCTGTCAAAAGACTAGAAGACAGTCCATAACACAGCCTGTCCGGACGAATTCACCTGCACACAATCATAAAGTGGCGGAATTCCTTTTGATTTTAAATTTGAAAAAGAGTCGATTTGTTGATTTAATTAAACGTTATGTGTCACTTCGCTTGTGTTAGTATCTTTATTATTTTGTAATAAACAAAAGTACCATGGAATGAAATGAAATGGGGTCTAACATACTTTCTTTCTGCTCTGATTGGGCTAATGGAGATGGCCTGTGAGTACGCATTGAGTCGGTATGGATTGAAGAGATCCTGGCAATATTTTGTTTCACAGTTAGTGAAAAGTAGTGATAATTGCTACATTATGCATTCAATAACAATGCCGTGGTGGTTTATAATCATCATTTATTCACTACTATTGGGATAAAACGAATTTCATATATTATGACAAAAAGATAAAACGCCAACCTTAAAGTTCCGTGCGTGCGAAACTTAAGCTGTCTGTTTACAGTCAGCTTATCTTGAGAACATTCACGATTGGTATCATGTCGTGATGTCGTGGTGTCGCCCTCCATAAGGAGACAACCCGAAAACCCGACAACCCGACATCACGAAATTTTAACCCAACACCACGACAAACCGTCAACTCGACAATACGACATGACGACATTTTAATCCGACAATCCATTTTCACCCGACACCACGACATTGTCTTTCCTACACTAGGATCTGGAAGAGTTGTTATATTACTTCTAAGTTCGAGAATTATGACGCGTAATTATTTCGATTCCATTTTTCATATAATGGAATTGAAATGTTTATTTTGTCTTTGTGTGTATGAAAGACATACAATGGATTAGAGTCGTATAATATAAGAAGACCTAGACAATTTGCTCAATATGGCGGCCATTCAGTGTAGAGATCTATTCTCCAAGTAGATAGTTCTAGGTGTGCAGAATGATTTCCAAGGATGAATGTACAAGGCCCCGTCTAACAAATGGGCAAATGGAAATGAAATGGGGTTTAACGTCCTGCTGTTATGCTCCGAACTGGGCTAATAAAAACGGGCATACGCCATACAGTGTGCTATGAGGGAAATTTTGCCCGGACAGTGGCACTACTCTTATATCGAATTCCAACTGTCAAGGGATCTTTTACGTGCACGCAAATGTGTACACGTACACGAGACCTCGGTTTTTCGTCCCATCCGAACGACCTGCACAATTGACAAAGGGGAACCAAGCCGGAAAATCTAGATGAACTTTCTCGGCCAATGCACGGATCGAACACCCAACCTCCAGGCTAGCGAGCCAACATCTTACCCACTTATCCACTGTGACACCCCCCTCCCCCTCCCGCATGGGCAAATGCTAACAGCCATTTAGGAAACTATGGGATGTCATCAGCTAACGAAAAGTACGATCTAGTGGCTACATACCAAAAACTAGGCACTTTCATACTAGCCCATAGGACGACAGTCACAATTGCTTCACTAAACAGGGACCCCAAGTACAGTTTGTGCATCAAATCTAAATATTCATAACTTTTAGAAAAATTAAAACTAAGATTTTATAAAAAAAAAGGATTAAAAATAAGATTTCATAATAAACAGAAACAAATAAAACTAAAATTTCATAACACAAAAAAATGAATTAAATCTGGTGTTCACATTCTTTATTACTGGATATAGAAATGCTATTCGAGATAAAGCATAGCATAATTTAGGAAAGAAGTGTGTAGGAATAAATTTCAGAAATTAAAAATTATTTATTTCATTTGCTGATGCAAGATATAATCATATGTGACGATCACCCGAGCTGTGAGACGTTCATTTAATTGAGAAAATTAAATGTATGAAAATAGGCTGTATAACCACACGTGTTATTGAGACGACAAATATCGCAGAAATCCATTGGTAGATGTTGAACACCGTAAGTCTTTCATGATCATTTTCTTTACCTTTTCTCTTATAAAAGAAAATATCCATTACATAAATTTGGTGCAAAAATATATTCACCGTAGCTTCATTTTTTTTTCAATTTGCAGACGTGTGCAGTATAATTTATAAAAAGACGTTCATTGTTTCACTTACTTTCTTTTGTTCTTTAAGATTCTTCAAAGATTATAAATACGATTTTCAAAGATCACAATCACTATGCCTATACAATTACCAGATACAAGAAACAATGTTGAGACTAATCAAGGTATAGTTGGCAACTCAGACAGGGCTATTAATAGTGGTGGAATTGTAAACGATTTTTGTAGATTGTATAGTTATTGAATCAGATGAAGACATGTATCAAACATCGCTTACCAGTTCCTCTACCCAAATCCCGAATGGTGCGCCAGCCCGCCCTTGTGAGGAGATTAAGCATGCTGAATCAGCTGAAAAGGTCTCTTGGTTGTGTAACAGAGACGTTGCTAATGGTGGCAACACTAATAAACAGACTGACTCTGTATTTACGGACAATGAAACCGGTATTATAAATGATAATGATCATTCGTATCCACTGGGAAACATTCTTGGTGCAACAACAAGTTCACAAGAAGAATCGACTTCCCTTTCATCTGATAAAGATTGTCTTCCCAGCACTCCTGATGTCAATGCTTTATACAAAGTTGATACCTCAGACCATCTGAACAGAGGCAATGGCCATTCACTAATCCTTTATGACAATGATGCAACGAATAAGGAACCCGACACACCACCAGACAAAGTAACAACATATTCAGCCAAAAACGACACTGCAAAGGAACCTACCTCTAATTACATTTCAAAGGAAGTTCACGACAATTTAGGATATCTTCCAGATTCTGCCAACGGCAAATATATTCCAGGCCGACACAAAAGAGAAAAAGATACGGAGAATGGCATGGAGGATGAAATGGAACCGAGACCAGGTGAAGTCATAGAAGATAGCAACAGACATAAAAATGTAGAGATTGACACCGAAGAGTAAGTAACCTTTATGGAAGGCTTTAGTAATATTAGTAAGATAAGCACAGTCGATACCAAATCCAATTGATCAGTAAGTTCAACGAAATTAAGCAAACAGAAACAGTAGTAATTGTATAGTTGTTTAGATGGGACGAAAAAAGGGGGTCACGTATACATATTGACGTGCCCGTAAAAGTTCCCTTGGCAATAGGCATTATATATAAGAGTAGCCGTAATGCCGCTGTCCGGGCGAACTTTCCTCATAGCACACTATATGGCGGAAGCCCGTTTTCATTACTTCAGTCGGAGTAGAAAAGTAAATATTGAATGGAATTTTGGACTGATATTCCTATTAGAGATTCAACTTTCACAAATGATTCTTTTTGCTTAAAATGCGCCTCTGGACTTTAATCAATTTAACGTTATTATATTTTCAGTAGTGGACCAAAGATAGGAAAGACCCTAAAAATTGTATTAAGCATCTGCAACTGTTTAATGATCACGATAGCGATAGGTTTATTGTATGCATTGCCTGTCCTGCTTATTGGTATCTTAGATGAGTTCCAGGCCTCCAGATCAGAGGCTTCACCAATATTTTCTGTGTTTACAGCCATTCTATTTGGTGGAGGTAGGTTTGGGGTAATAATTACATCTTTATAATAGTATTTTAACACCAACAAGCGGTTGTCATGCAAGGTGCGCTCACATTTTGTAAGAGATGGACAGAGAACAACCTTAAATAAAACAGATTTTTCATACACTGTTAGAAAAAATCTGGTAAATTTACCTGAAATAACTGGTAACAAAAGTTGCCAGTAAATTTCCTGTAAATAAACAGTCAACTGTAATATACTATTCAAAAAAAGTAGGGGATATTTGATTTTGGGGGCATAATACTAAAATATGCAAATGACTACGAAAAAAGTCACTATAGAACCTAACAGAAGAAACATTTCCAGTTACATGTGACGCCCAAACGCACCAATAGCTACCGCATGGAATGCAGGTGATGCTTGGGATCATCATGGGGGTCCAACCCAAGATTTGCACGACTCTGACTTTGAATGTTACAGTCATTGTGGCATTGAATTCCAGGGTGGAAACATCAGTTTAATTGTTTTAGTGACCAGTAAACAAATTTTGATATGCGTCGGCTTACCCAAAATGAAAGGTTACGTGCCCTTGGCATGCTACAGATCGGCAAAACACAGGCGGTTGTGGCGCGGACGATGAATGTTTCTCAGTCTGTCATAAGCAGGCTATGGTCCAGATACCGTGATACACAATCTGTACAGGACAGACCACGCTCAGGTCGACCAAGGGCGACAACTCAAGCCCAGGATCGATTTATCCGTACCTTGGCCTTGAGAAATCGTGTCATCACAGCAAATCAGATCAGCGCTCGTCTTCAAACAGACACTGGTGTGAGAGTGAGTGGCCAGACGATTCGGAATCGACTGCATAGGGGTCACCTTCGCGCCCGACGTCCTCGCGTGATCCCTTGTTTGAGAGATCATCACATTCAGGCAAGACGTCGTTGGTGTAGGGATCGTCAACACTGGGATAATCGACGCTGGAGCAATGTGATGTTTTCAGATGAGTCAAGGTTCACTGTTGATTTTTTGGACAGACGTAGGAGGGTGTGGCGTCGTCGAAACGAGCGCTTCCAAGACGTTAACGTCATCAGACATGATCGATTTGGGGGTGGTTCTGTTATGGTGTGGGGAGGCATCACTGTTGCTGGAAGAACGGCTTTACATGTTGTTGCAGGGCGTGTTACAGGCCAGTACTACCGGGACAACATCTTGGCAGTCCATGTTGTGCCGTTCGCACGACGTCATGGCCGCCGTTTCATCTTCCAGGATGACAACGCAAGATGTCACAGGGCCAGGATCGTTACAGGTTACCTCCAACAACAGAACACCACCACATTACCTTGGCCAGCACTGAGTCCCGACCTCTCCCCCATCGAGCATGTCTGGGACATGCTTGGACAGAGGTTACGTCAACGTCAACAACGTCCTGCCAATGTCCAAGAACTTGCTGCTGCGTTGCAACAGAAATGGGACAATCTGGACCAAAATGACCTTAGACGTCTCATTAGGAGTATGCCACGTCGGATCAATGCTTGTTTGGCAAACAGAGGAGGATTTACCCGTTACTGACTTGGTTGTGATGCTGTGGTAACTTTGCTGTTTGACCCCGGGTATCATTTTACCCTTAT